ACAGGGAAGGCGCCACTACCGAGAAGGCCCTCTGCCTGGTTCCCTGTAACTTGGCTTCTCGCAGTGAGGGAACCGCCAGAAGGCCCTCAGTGCTGGACCTCAGTGTCCGGGTAGAACGATGGGGGTGGAGACGCTCCTTCAGATATACTGGACCAAGGCCGTTTAGGGCTTTAAAGGTCAGCACCAACACTTTGAATTGTGCTCGGAAACGTACTGGGAGCCAATGTAGGTCTTTCAAGACCGGTGTTATGTGGTCTCTGCGGCCGCTCCCAGTCACCAGTCTAGCTGCCGCGTTCTGGATTAGTTGTAGTTTCCGGGTCACCTTCAAAGGTAGCCCCACGTAGAGCGCATTGCAGTAATCCAAGCGGGAGATAACCAGAGCATGCACCACTCTGGCGAGGCAGTCCGCAGGCAGATAGGGTCTCAGCCTGCGTACCAGATGGAGCTGGTAAACAGCTGCCCTGGACACAGATTTGACCTGTGCCTCCATGGACAGCTGTGAGTCCAAAATGACTCCCAGGCTGCGCACCTGGTCCTTCAGGGGCACAGTTACCCCATTCAGGACCAGGGAATCCTCCACACCTGCCCGCCTCCTGTCCCCCAAAAACAGTACTTCTGTCTTGTCAGGATTCAACCTCAATCTGTTAGCCGCCATCCACCCTCCAACCGCCTCCAGGCACTCACACAGGACCTTCACTGCCTTCACTGGTTCTGATTTGAAAGAGAGGTAGAGCTGGGTATCATCTGCATACTGATGAACACCCAGCCCAAATCCCCTGATGATCTCTCCCAGCGGCTTCATGTAGATGTTGAAAAGCATGGGGGAGAGGACAGAACCCTGAGGCACCCCACAAGTGAGGGCCCAGGGGTCTGAACACTCATCCCCCCACCACTTTCTGGACATGGCCCAGGAGGAAGGAGCGGAACCACTGTATAACAGTGCCCCCAGCTCCCAGCTCCTCTAGACAGTCCAGAAGGATGTTATGGTCGATGGTATCAAACGCCGCTGAGAGATCCAGCAGAACTAGGAAACAGCTCTCACCTTTGTCCCTAGCCCGCCGGAGATCATCAACCAGTGCGACCAAGGCAGTTTCAGTCCCATGATGAGGCCTGAATCCCGACTGGAAGGGATCCAAATGGTCCGCTTCTTCCAGGCGTGCCTGGAGTTGTTCAGCAACCACTCGCTCAATCACCTTGCCCAAGAATGGAAGATTTGAGACTGGGCGATAGTTGGCTATCGTGGCCGCATCTAAAGATGGTTTTTTAAGAGGCGGTTTAATAACCGCCTCTTTCAGCGGGTCTGGGAAGGCTCCCTCACGGAGGGAAGCATTCACCACCCCACGAGCCCATCGCCCAGTCCTTCCCGGCTAGCTTTTATAAGCCAGGATGGGCAAGGATCAAGGAGGCAAGTGGTTGGTTTCACTCGTCCAAGCAGCCTGTCCACATCCTCGGAGGTAACAGATTGGAATTGATCCCACACAACTTGACTAGACAGGACTCTAGCACTCTCCCGCCCCGGCCCTGCTCCCACGGTGGAGTCTACCTCTTCTCGAGATCTGAGCGACTTTATCTGCAAAAACTTTGCAAAGTCATTGCAGGAGATCATGTGGCCGCTACTGGGCCCTGATGGAGCAGGTGGTTCCGCTAAATTGCGAACCACCTGAAAGAGTCTCCTGCTGCTGTTTTCCGCAGATGCAATAGAGGCGGTGAAGAAAGTCTTCTTCGCCGTCGCTATCGCCACTTGGTAGGCTCGACGTTGAGCTCTAACCCGTGTCCGGTCAGATTCAGAATGGGTTATCCGCCACCGGCGCTCTAGCCGTCTCAACGATTGTTTCATTGCCCTCAGATCCGTGGAAAACCACGGGGCTGTCCGGGCTCCATGCAATCGGAGAGGGCGCTTTGGAGCCAAACAGTCAATAGCCCTGGTTAACTCCACACTCCACATTCCACAAACCAGTCCACAGAATTTATTTCATTTATGTCCTGCTTTTCCTCAAGGATCTCCAGGCGGTCTTTCCCCTCACCCAATTTTATCTTCATGACACCCCTGTGAGGTAGGTCAGGCTGAGATGCAAGTAAGTTTTGTGGCTGAGTTGGGTTTTGAAGCAGTCTTTTCCCATGCCTAATTAGTAATAATTCTATGCCACCCTCCACCCAAAGATGACAGGATGCTTTACAATATAAAAACACAAAAATACATATCATAGTAACAAACAATCCCACCACAGTTTAAAAGGCCATAGACAGTTTAATTAGCCAAAGGCCTGGGAAAAGTGTTTTTGCCTGGCAGCTAAAGATGTATGACGATGGCCCCTGGCAAGTCTCCTTGGGGAGAGCATTTTGCAAGCAAGGAGCCACCACAGAAAAGGCCCTGCTCTCGTGTTGCTGCTCTCTGGGCCCCTCGTCTAGGAAGCTCACAAACAATTAGTTCAGCGGGGCTGAAGTGCATGCTGAGTTTTTAAGCTGCCCTTGCACCCGTGCCTGCAGGAGTGCTGCCAAGTCTCTTTCAGCCTGTTGAATCATGAAAAGAGAAGGTCCCAGGGTTGTTTTGAAGATAAAATGGAGCAGCAGAAAACCAGGTGCGCCACCTTGAGATCCTCGGAGGAAAGGCAGTATGTAAATATATTTGTGATTCCAAAACAGCTACCCGCAAACTACAGGATTTCTGAGCATGAACAAAGTGCATTTCAACTGCTGCGTGAACACTGCTAGCTAGCCTCATGCCTCTGAAAGGGCTTCCAGGGCATAATAATCATAATAATAATAATAATTTATTATTTGTACCCCGCCCATCTGGCTGGGTTTCCCCAGCCACTCTGGGCGGCTTCCATAGAAACCAAAAATACAGTAAAATATCACAGATTAAAAACTTCCCTGAACAGGGCTGCCTTAAAATGTCTTCTAAATGTCAGGTAGTTATTTATCGCTTTGACATCTGATGGGAGGGCGTTCCACAGGGTGGGTGCCACTACCGAGAAGGCCCTCTGCCTGGTTCCCTGCAGCTTTGCTTCTCGCAATGAGGAAACCGCCAGAAGGCCCTCGGCGCTGGACCTCAGCGTCCGGGCAGAACGATGGGGGTGGAGACGCTCGGTTTTGAGCGCTAGGAGCTTCTCAGATGTGGGACGCAGGTGGCACTGTGGTCTAAACCACTGAGCCTTGGGCTTGCCAATCAGAAGGTTGGCGGTTCGAATCCCCGCGACAGGGTGAGCTCCCATTGTTCGGTCCCTGCTCCTGCCAACCTAGCAGTTCGAAAGCACGTCAAAGTGAAAGAAGATAAATAGGTACCGCTCCAGCGGGAAGGTAAATGGCGTTTCCGTGCGCTCCTCTGGTTTGCCAAAAGCGGCTTTGTCATGCTGGCCACATGACCTGGAAGCTGTACGCCGGCTCCCTCGGCCAATAAAGCAAGATGAGCGCCGCAACCCCAGAGTCGGTCACGACTTTACCTTTACCTATTGCATTTCAATATTTTACCATAAGCTGCCCAGAGAACATAGTTTGGGGGAGGCATGCAACGATTGCAAACAAATAAATAGGTAAAAAGGTAAAGGACCCCTGGACGGTTAAGTCCAGTCAAAGGCGACTAGGGGTTGCGGCGCTCATCTCGCTTTCAGGCCAAGGGAGCCGGCGTTTGTTCACAGACAGCTTTCCAGGTCATGTGGCCAGCAGGACTAAACAGCTTCTGGCACAACAGGACACTGTGATGGAAACCAGAGGGCATGGAAACGCTGTGTACCTTCCCGCTGCAGTGGTACCTATTTATCTACTTGCACTGGCATGCTTTCGAACTGCTAGGCTGGCAGGAGCTGGGACAGAGTCACGTGGATAAATAGGTACTGCTCCGGCAGGAAGGAAAACAGCGTTTCCGTGTGCTGCTCTGGTTTCACCAGAAGCAGCTTAGTCATGCTGGCCACATGACCTGGAAGCTGTACCCTGGCTCCCTCAGCCAATAAAGTGAGATGAGCGCCGCAACCCCAGAATCTTTTGTGGCTGGACTTAACTGTCAGGGGTCCTTTACCCATAGCTTTGGCTGTGAACCAGGCTGCATCGGTTAGCACTGAGGGTGTAAAACAGGCGTCAGCAAACCTTTTCCAGCAGGCAGCCGGTCCACTGTCCCTTAGACCTTGTGGGGGGGGCCAGACTATATTTTTTTGGGGGGAATGAACGAATTCCTATGCCCCACAAATAACCCAGAGATGCGTTTTAAATAAAAGCACACATTCTACTCATGTAAAAATACAGTGATTCCTGGACTGTCTGTGGGCTGGATTTAGAAGGCAATTGGGCCAGATCCGGCCCCCTGGCCTTAGTTTGCCTACTCATGGTGTAAAATCTTTGCAAGATTGGACCAAACAGGTGCCCCGGGAATTCCCCAAGGAGGAATTCCTCACACCCCTACACACACATAATAACTTAACTAGGAGGTAAGTGACCTCTGTGCATGGAGGTTACATTGATTGACTGATCCCCCTTGGGTTCTTGTGCTTCGATGCCATCATGGAGTTGGGTGGGATCCCCAGCGGTCATCTAGTCCAACCCCATAAGATGCAGGAATCTCAACTAATGCATCCATGAAAGGTGGCCATCCAACCTCTGTCCAACAGCTCTTAACTGTTGGAACTGGTTGAGGCAGGAACTCGTGATGGAACTGGTGAGGTGGTTGCAACTTGGATAAAATATGGGGAGGGGGGGAGAGTAAGTCCCGCCCCGCATAGTCAATCACATGACACAGCACATGCACACTATTTGAATAGCTTTGGGGTCGGGCCCCTCAAATATTTTCTTGAGCGGGACCGAAGGATTTGGCTCCTATGGGCTGATGCGTTTCCGTGCGCTCCAGCAACCCAGAGTAACCTTTGGTGTGCATGCAAATCGTGCGCGTGTGGGGGGACGACGACATTGCACACCCCCCCCACACACAACTTGCCCGCCTACCCGCCCACCCCTCCTCTCCTTCCGGCCTTTCCTTTCGCAAAGTGGGCGGTCTCTGGGACGCGACTTTCGCTTTCGTTTCCCTTTCGTTGCTGTTGTGGATGTTGCCCCGGCCACCCTCCTTCGAAGGTAGGTGCCTTTGCGCGCCCGTCGCCCCATCCTCTCCCCTGCTTCTGCGGCTGTCCCTCCCTCTTCTCCGTCTGAACACCCCCCACACCCAGGATTTCTTGCAGAGCACCCCCAGGATAGAGGCGATCGGACCGTTTTCGCCCCTTTCCCCGGTCCTCTTCTTCCTGCGAATCCGGCGCGGCGTCGGAGTGGCCAAAAGCGCTTTCTACCGCTTCCGTGGCTGCCTTTTAGTCTTGCCTCCCCGTCATTAGGCGCCCGGCCAGCCCCCTTTTCCTCGGGGCAGATGGGAATGCAAGGGTTTGCAAGCTTTCCGCACTTTTAAAAACCGGGCCCCACATGTGAGGTCTGCTCGGAGCCATCGCTGACCCGTTGCCGGAGCAGCTGTGCGCCCTTAGCAACGCCCCAGCCTGCTTTTCCAAGGCCGAAGAGCAAGTTTCTGCAACCCGGGCGCTTCCGATCCCCGATCCCTTTTGCTGATTGCTTCACTGCTTCCCAAGTTCAGATCGCCCAGGGAGCAGCCGCCAGCCAGACCCCCAGCGTTACTGCACGCCGAAATTTGTGAATGAAATCCCGCAGGCTTCACATGCAAGGCTTGCCCACCCCTCTGCTCTAGATCTGCCTCGCCCAACCTGGTGCTCTCCACAGTTTTTGCGCTACAATTCCCATCTGCCCCAAACATCTGGTTGGGTAATCTCGCATCAACTTGGAGGCGTGTAGTGCTTTGCTACAGAATCCGGAAGTACAGTGGTACCTTGGGTAACATACGCTTCAGGTTACATACGCTTCAGGTTACAGACTCCGCTAACCCAGAAATAGTACCTCGGGTTAAGAACTTTGCTTCAAGATGAGAACAGAAATCGTGCTCCGGCGGCACGGCGGCAGCTGGAGGCCCCATTAGCTAAAGTGGTGCTTCAGGTTAAGAACAGTTTCAGGTTAAGAACGGACCTCTGGAACGAATTAAGTACTTAACCCGAGGTACCACTGTAGTCTGAATCGTTGCTTCTGGCTTGAGTTCACTAAAGCGTCTCCCCATCTGCATTACAGGATTATTTGCAAAGCTTGCAGCCAGCTGTGTATGTGATCGAGCGCTTCCAAAGTGCTACTACCAGCAATGAATTAATTAGCAACAATTCTGCTTTAATGAATTATCATCTGGCTTCGTAGACATTCATTTATGTGAGTTTAAAAACACCAGCAACACTTGTGTGCTTTGCATGTGACTTTAAAAGCTTTCTGGAAAGTTTACACTGAACAGCCAAGTATACAACTTTTTCAGTAAAACCACATTTTTCAAAGAAACGGCAAGCTTTTCACAAATGGTTAAAAGCTCTGATAAAGCGCAATGGAACTTCCCTTTTCCTCATATCCCCACGTCCCCCCCCACCCCCAGATCTGTTCTGGGGATTTACGCAAGCCGCCAGAGCAGATTGTGGGGAATAGGGAGAGGTGAGAGGGATTACACCCTATTGTGCAGGTATAAGACTTTGTACCAACAGAACAACTTACTTGGATAGAACTCACAGTTTTGTGGTTTCCGTTAAGCTTGCTGGAATCAAATGGCCTTCCTCAGCTTCTTGAAGTTCATAAATGTAAGGCTGGTTGCATCTCTTTGGATGGGTGCCACGACTGGAAAGGCCCTGCTTTTTGTGCCAGGCAGACTTAACGAATTTCTTTGAATTCTGATGGGAGGGCGTTCCACAGGGCGGGTGCCACTACCGAGAAGGCCCTCTGCCTGGTTCCCTGTAGCTTTGCTTCTCGCAGGGAGGGAACCGACAGAAGGCCCTCAGAGCTGGACCTCAGTGTCCAGGTAGAACGATGGGGGTGGAGACGCTCCTTCAGATATACTGGACCGAGGCTGTTTAGGGCTTTAAAGGTCAGCCCCAACCCTTTGAATTGTGATTGGAAACGTACTGGGAGCCAATGTAGGTCTTTCAAGACTGGTGTTATGTGGCCACTCCCAGTCATCAGTCTAGATGCCGTATTCTGGATTAGTTGTAGTTTCCGGGTCACCTTCAAAGGTAGCCCCACATAGAGTGCATTGCAGTAGTCTAAGCGAGAGATAATTAGAGCATACACCACTCTGGCGAGACAGTCCGCGGGCAGATAGGGTCTCAGCCTGCGTACCAGATGGAGCTGGTAGACAGCTGCCCTGGACACAGAATTGACCTGCGCCTCCATGGGCAGCTATGAGTTCAAAATGACTCCCAGGCTGCGCACCTGGTCCTTCAGGGGCACAGTTACCCCATTCAGGACCAGGGAATCCTCCACACCTGCCCGCCCCCTGTCCCCCCCAAAACAGTACTTCTGTCTTGTCAGGATTCAACCTCAATCTTTTAGCCACCATCCATCTGCCTCCAGGCACTCACACAGGACCTTCACCGCCTTCACTGGTTCTGATTTGAAAGAGAGGTAGAGCTGAGTATCATCTGCATACTGATGAACACCCTGCCCAAACCTCCTGATGATCTCTCCCAGCGGCTGCATATAGATGTTGAAAAGCATAAAATTATTGTGAGGTTTAATAAGTTAACTGTTTCTATTTAGACAACTTTTCTGCTGTACTCTATTGGAAGGAGAAAAATAATCATTAGTAACAATCTAAACAATTTATTCAACTAAACCAATAACATTATAGCATATGTATCCATGTTTGTTAACTGATGTGGTTAAACGATTTATTTTTTAAAAAAGAAAAACTTAGACTGAGTTTTAGCACACATGAAAAACTTAAAACAAACCCTCATTTCCTGATGAATAGCCTTTGGACTATAATGTAACTAAAATAGAAAACTATCATTAGTTTTTTCCTCCAAAAGCATTTTATTTTAAAAATCTGATTTAAATAAAAAAAAATCCGATTTAAGTTTTTAAAAAACCCAATTTAAATATTAAAAAAAACTGTTTGAAATTCTGGCTCAGTCATCCTCCGCCATGGAGGTGCTGTGGAATTGTTGGGGTCAAGGTAACCATTGACAGGGGATTTGAAGAACAAAATGAAAGGTGACCTGGTCCTTCTTATTGTTCTGGAAAAACTGTGGCCTTTTTTGCGCTTATAATCCCTTAATGCTGTACAAACATGACCCTGCTTTCTTGACCTTCCTTCTGGGGGTGGGGGACTCAGGTTCGCTGCCCCTGTCACTGTATTCCATTTCGGCTTAATGAGGTTTTTGTTTCTTAAATAATAATAATAATAAAAAAGAATATTTGAAAGCCCTGAGGCACCATGAATATTTATAGCAGGCGCAAACACCCCCGTTGCATGTTAATGGGCTCTCTGGTGAATAATGCAAGAGTCTAGAGTCGAGCTTGGCATCTGCGCCGGGTCAAGAAGGCCTTTGAGGGAGCTGACAAAATGGCTCCTCGCCCGCAAGATGCGAGGCAAAGCCTTCTCTCGCTGCATTATTCATGCCACCGTCGGCTTTGCAGACAGGCCTGGCTGGGTCAGCTAACAGAGTCCCGTTTGTTTGCCTCTGTGGCGAGCCGACAAAATGTGGCGGACGTCTGGCCGGGGGATAAATTGGGCAGGGGGAGGGGAGTAGGCATTTGCCCCTGACAAGCTGGTGAGGCAAAATTTTAAATTTCCTTCCTTAAAAAAAAGACACACACCATACCCAACAAGGCTGAGAAGTATTCTCTTGCACAACAACCAACATCTGAAGATAATTCGCCTCTCAGCTGCACATCTTTTCGCAGGTTGGCAGCCGTGGGGCAAGGCAAAAGCGATATTATCTCTGCATTTATGTTTGAGGCTGAAGGGGGAGCAGTTATTGGGTTGTTGTTTTTATTTTGACTACAGTTGGTACCTTGGTTCTCAAACTGAATCTGTTCCAGAAGTCCATTCCAAAACCAAGGTGTGCTTTCCCATAGAAAGTACCGTATTTTTCGTCCCATAGGACGCTCCGTCCCATAGGACGCACCTAGTTTTTTGGGGGGGAATAAGGGGGAAAAAATTCCCTTTATTTCCCCCCCCCAAAACCAGGTCGGGGAACAGCGGGATGGCGGCGCTGCGCCTCCCCGCTGTCCCCCGAGCTTGTGGGGCTGGCGGATATCTGCCCGAAGCGCGGGGCGCTCTGCTTCAGCGCGCTCCATGCAGCAGGCTGCTATCCGCAGCCTAGGGAGCCCTGCGGAAACTCCCGCAGGGCTCCCCAGGCTGCGGATATCTGCCTGGTACGCGGGGTTCTCTGCTTCAGGGCGCCTTGCGCGCCGGGCGGCAGGCTGCTATCCGCAGCGTGGGGAGCCCTGTGGGAACTCCCGCGGGCTCCCCAGGCTTGCGGATGTCTTCCTGAAGCCTGGAGAGCGAGAGGGGTCGGTGCGCACCGACCCGTCTCGCTCTCCAAGCTTCAGCGAAAGCCTGTATTCGCCCCATAGGACGCACACAGATTTCCCCTTCATTTTTGGAGGGGAAAAAGTGCGTCCTATAGGGCGAAAAATACGGTAATTCAAAATGGATTAATCCGTTCCAGACTTTTAAAAACAACCCCTAAAACCTCAATTTAACATGAGTTTTACTATCTAATGAGACCATTGATCCATAAAATGAAAGCAGTAAACTATATGTACTGCAGTCAGTCAGTCAGTAGCTGAACAGGGTTCCACATAGTCACAAAAAAGCCGCAAAAACAAAAATGCAAAATAAATAGCAAAAACAGACCTCAGCGTAACACTCAAAACGGAGCATGTTCGGCTTCCAAAAAAAGTTTGTAAACCGGAACATTTACTTCCAGGTTTGCAGTGTTTTGGTTCCAAGTTGTTTGAGTACCAAGGCATTTGAGAACCAAGGTGCCACTGTAGATATATTGTGGTTTTTATGTTGATCCTTTCTTTGAACCGCCCTGAGACCTCTGGGTATAGGGCAGTATATAAATTCAATAAATAATAATAATAATAATAATAATAATAATAATAATAAATAATATTGAACTTTTGGGTGTGCCAAAAAAAGATGGCAAATGCTTCCATTTCCCCCAAATCGTGTGCTTCGTTTCCAACAGGAAAAGGTTGCAAGGGGAGTATTTCCCACCTCCCTGCCTCATCCTCTGTTCAAAACATTTGTGGAGGTTGAATTTTGCAGGTCAGCTGCCTAGAAATGTCTCTGGAGATTTTATATCTCTTGAACGGGGTGTGAGTTATTTCCACCCCAAGGACGGTCTTCCTCTAGATATCTGTCTTGAAGCTGCCACCGCCCAGCAGAGATAATGGAGGGGTCATAGTTCTGTGCTGGTGCATCAGCCTTGAACACAGAAGATTTCATTCCCAGCATCTCCTAGGATAGCTAGCAGTGTCTGCTGTCTGAAACCCTGGAGAGCTGGTTGCTGGTCAGACAAGGCTGAGCTAGGTGGATCAATGGTTTTGAGTTGTGTAAGGCAGAATCTTGTGTTCCTAGGCCCCAGCACATCCTGGTTTCATATAGACAAGACTTGGTTGTTCACAAATGCTGATGATTTTATATTTTATATTTTACAGTGGTACCTCGGGTTACATACGCTTCAGGTTACATACGCTTCAGGTTACAGACGCCGCTAACCTTGAAATAGTGCTTAAGGTTAAAAACTTTGCTTCAGGATAAGAACAGAAATCGGGCTCCGGCGGCGCAGCAGCAGCAGGAGGCCCCATTAGCTAAAGTGGTGCTTCAGGTTAAGAACAGTTTCTGGTTAAGAACGGTCCTCCGGAATGAATTAAGTACTTAACTCGAGGTACCACTGTATATTTTATATTTTATATTTTATTTTGACCAAGTAATAACCATAAATAAATAAGAATAAAAATGTGCACACACACCCATTATAACTATCCAACCTCTCAAAATTTCAACACCTCTTGCGATGGTTTGATTCTACAAACACCTTCCATATCTTCTCAAAATCATTTCTCCTGCCTATTCCCCATCTTACCATAATGGCACATTTTAATTTATCATTAATAGCTATATCCCACACCTCTTTGGATCGTTTTTCCATTTTATATTCTGCTTGCCCCTTCCACTTCCTGGCTATCACTATACGTGCAGCTGTCAATAAATTTGTGAGCAGGTCCTTCCTAGCCTGCGAACCTTCCACCCCATTGTAAATTGATGATAATGCAACCTCTGGACTTCTGGTCAGCTTTAACCCAGCGATTTCTGTTATCTCCTTAAACACCTTTTACCCCCCAAAAAGGGTACATATTTACACCCCCACCACATGTGAATATAATTCCCTGTTTCCTGGCATCCTCTCCAACATAGCACCGAATAATGCTGCTGATTTCTTTAAAAAAATATATATTAACAATTTCAACAAAATATCAAAACATCTCATTATTTTCCCCCTTTTCCCCCACCTCCCCATCGAACTCCCCCCAGACTTCCCTCAGCTCCTCTTTCTGATTTCTCAACTCGTATTGTCCACTGCATACTGTAAAATTGTATAAATCCTTATATTATCTGTCTACTATGTTAACAATCAATAAATTTGTATATGTTTATTCAAAACCTGCCAAGGAGTCCAATTCATTTTGTTGTCTTTTCAAGTAGTTTGTAAAAAGTTCCCATTCTTCTTTGAAGTCACAGTTGTCTTTATCTCACAATTTGTATGTCAGTTTAGCCAGTTCTGCATAGTTCATCAATTTGTCTTGCCACTGTTTTGTCGGGGTTTCCTCTTCTTCCATCCTTGTGCTATCAAGACACTTGCCGCTGTTGTAGCATACATAAATAAGTTCTTTATTTTCCTTGGCAGGCCTTGTCCTACAATCCCTAACAAAAATGCTTCTGGGTTTTTTACAACATTTTCTTCAATTCATTATATATCATTTCCCAAAATTTCCAGAATAATGCTGATGATTTCTGAGCCTCCTTCAAACATGGTTAAACTATTGGTTGACGCTTAGGTTTCCTCTACAGGTTTGGCAGCATGTCTACCTGCCGTACCGTTTGCGTCCGAGGCTACCCTGCCGACTTACCGCCGGAGCGTGTGTCCGACAAGCTGATGATCCACTTTCTGCGAGCACGCAATGGAGGTGGAGAAATTGCCAGCATTGAATTTCCACCCGAATCCCCAGGCTGTGCTATGGTTACCTTTGAGGATGCAACAGGTCACTAGATGAGGAGCAAAATTGTTTGGTATACTGGTGGGGCGGGGAGTGGGTAGCTTACAGGTGAAACTCGGAAAATTAGAATATTGTGGAAAAGTTCATTTATTTCAGTAATTCAACTTAAAAGGTGAAACTAATATACTGTGCTTCATTAAGTCCAGGGTCAACGCAGCCGTCTACCAGGAGATTTTGGAGCACTTCATGCTTCCTTCCGCAGACAAGCTTTATGGGGATGCTGATTTCATTTTCCCGTAGGACTTTGTCACCTGCCCACACTGCCAAAAGTACCAAAACCTGGTTCAATGGACATGGGATTACTGTGCTTGATCGGCCAGCAAACCCGCCTGACCTGAACCCCATAGAGAATCTATGGGGCATTGCCAAGAGAAAGATGAGAGACATGAAACCAAGCAATGCAGAAGAGCTGAAGGCTGCTATTGAGGCATCCTGGTCTTCCATAACACCTCAGCAGTGCCACAGGCTGATAGCATCCATGCCACACCGCATTGAGGCAGTAATTGATGCAAAAGGCCCAAACCAAGTACTGAGTACATGTGCATGCTTCTACTTCTCAGAGGTCCAATATTGCTCTATTTGCAGTCCTTGTTTTGCTGATTTCATTTAATATTCTAATTTTCTGAGATTGTTAATTTGGGGTTTTCATCAGCTGTACTCCATAAACATCACAATTATAACAAATAATGGCTTGATATATCTCGCTTTGCATGTCATGAGTTTATCTCATATATTAGTTTCACCTTTTAAGTTGAATTGCTGAAATAAATGAACTTTTCCACAATACTCTAATTTTCCGAGTTTCACCTGTATGTTCATATATAAAACTGAACGTACGAGTGCGGTGGTACCATTAGGAAACTTGTGGCCACCTTCACACCATACACTGAAAGAACCATGACACCACTTCAAATGGTGACAGCTTCCCCCACAGAATCCTGGGAACTGTAGTTTGCTAAGGGTGCTGGGAGCTGTTATGAGACCCCCCTTCCCCTCCCAGAGTTACAATTCCCACAGCGATCTAACAATAATGCCTCCTGACAGAGATTTCTTGAGAATTGTAGCTCTGTGAGGAGGAAAGGCTTATCCAAAGAACTAATCGCAGAAATATAGACGTAACACGTAGGCTAATAACTGTTAAATCATATGTAACAGAATAATGATATCATTCAAAAGGTAGAAATAAATATATTGGAGTTCATATATACAGTGTAACAGACTAGTGGTGCAGAACATCAAGGCATGTGTTCAAGATAGGCGTCAAAGGTCAGTCTCACAATGGTTATTCAAAGGTTCAACAAATGACGTCTCAAAAGTCTAAAAAGTAAGGTTTTCTCAAATGTTTTTCAAAAGTTCCAATGGAAGACGTCCTAAAAGTCTCAAGGACAGTGTTTCCGGAATGATACTACTGTTTCGTGATAGTCTTCCATTAGCTGAAAATACAGTACAAAGCATACAACCAATTAATGATAACAGAATTGAGCTACCCACATACACATTATATATTAAAACAGAATATACAAAACAAAGTGTATAAAGAAAGGTACGTACCCAATATTTTTCACAAAAATATGTAAGTAAGATTCATAAGAACTGTCAGCACCCTTAACAAACTACATCTCCCAGAATTCTTTGGGAGGAAGCCATGGTTGCTTAAAGTGGGGTCATCGTGCTTTGAATATATGGTGTGAGTGTGGCCTGTATGTGTCATTTTCTCTTGCACATAGAGATGGTTAAATTTTACATCATGTCTGCAAACCAGTTGAACAGCTCCCAATTTTTGCACTGTAAATTTCCAGGCGCGAATCCCACATTGCAGAATTTGTAAGATGTTTCCTCCTTAAACGTTGCAAGTTCTTGCTGGAATATTAGTGGAGCTTTGAGAAATCTTACATGGCTTCCCTTTTCTCAACAACATAAAAAACGGGTTTGAAAGATGACAGTGACCCAGAGAGAATCTGGTGTTGGACTGCAGGGAAAATGGATAACTGGTTTTCAAGTCAGTTTGAGGGGCTTGAAATGCAAATCTTTCTGGGCAAGCAAAAGCACTGTGCTAACTTTCTCCTTCTTACCATTAGTGCACCCACAAGCTAAAATCATAGAAGGGGCGACAAGGGTCATCTAGTCCAACCCACCTGCAATTCAGAATCTTTTGCCCAGTGTCAGCTTGAACCCATGACTCTTGAGTGTCTCATGCTTTACCGACTGAGCCATTCTGCTCTGGAAACGAAAAATCTGCGCAAGCTGAAAAGATTCAGTTGTATAGACAGAATCTTTAATTTCAGAATTTTGAAATGTGAATTTTGAGTTGAGGATTTCGGGAAGCAACACTGAGAATTTGAGTAACAAACAAAGGACTGAGAAAGGTGGAACAGAAGTGTGTGGAAAGCAAATGCAATGAGATTTTGCCCTGTCTCCCAAGTTTGTTGGTGAGGGTGTGAGTTGTTGCTAGTTTCTGTTGATTGCTGTTTTTTTCCTCATTCAGTGACTCAGCAGGTACTGAAGGTCAAAAAGCATGTATTGACAGTCAACGGGACCGCCTACCCTTTGGAAGTGACACAGAGCGCCGCTGAATTGAACCCCAATGAGGTAATAAAGAGGCTGAGAAGGCTGTTGTCAGGGTGAGGGAGCTGAACTTTGCAGGTGCATAAAGGTAAAGGGACCCTTGACCATTAGGTCCAGTCGTGGCCGACTCTGGGGTTGTGACGCTCATCTTGCTTTACTGGCCGAGGGAGCCGGCGTACAGCTTCCAGGTCATGTGGCCAGCATGACTAAGCCGCTTCTGGCGAACCAGAGCAGCGCACGGAAACGCCATTTACCTTCCCGCCAGAGTAGTACCTATTTATCTACTTGCACTTTGACGTGCTTTCGAACTGGTAGGTTGGCAGGAGCAGGGACCGAACAACGGGAGCTCACCCCGTCGCGGGGATTCAAACCACCGACCTTCTGATCGGCAAGTCCTAGGCTCTGTGATTTAACCCACAGCGCCACCCGTGTCCCTTGCAGATGCATAGACTGGCACAAAAGAAAAGGCTCATCGTGGAAACCCCAATTCTGCAATCTGATCAGATCACGCAGATTAAACAAGCTTGCATAACGATGTTTTGCTAGCCTTGTGACATAGAAAGCAATAGCGATGAGCACCACTTACCCCGCACATATGCTCTGCGTAACACATGCCCACTCACCATAAGGGCAAGACACTTGTTTTCGTTTCATTTTTAATGTGAACACTGTTATGTAGTAGGTTTCCTGTGTTCTAAACCTTTTAGTTTCTGAGTCATTAGTTTTCATTGCCACACTTTAAAATATATTTTTTATACATTTTTATTAGTTTTTTAACATACCATTTCCAGCAATCATTTAACATAACTTCTTATCTTATACAATATTTTAGACTTCTGTCAACAACCTCTGATGATTTTCCATTCTTTATCACTTATTCTGCATTTCTTAATTTCTGTATTACTCTTAATTACCACTAACTAATAATTCTCCTCGTAGTCTTTCTTGCAATATTTCAAATAGTCCTCATTACAAAACTTCTTGCAATCCTACTAGCGTAATCTGTTCATTACAGTTGCTTTTCAAATAATTCATATATTTACTCCAATCTCCTAAGAATCTCTGGTCCTGCAGGTTCCGAATCCTTCCTGTTAATTTATCTAATTCTGCTTAGTCCATTAATTTCATTCACCATTCTTCTTTCGTCGGTAATTCCTCTTGCTTCCATTTTTGTGCCAGCCACACTTTTAAATATTATCTCTACTGCCACTGCCACCCCACCCCCCTTTTCTGCATGGAAGGTAGGATGTTCGCTTCGTGGCACATATTCGGGTCATAGCTGTCAACCGTCCCTTAAACCGTCCCATGAGCTTATTTGGCGGGAAAGTCCCTCATCTCAGCGCCGTGTCCCGCCGCTATCCCTTATTGATGATGTCCCTTACATTTCCTGGGTTTCAAAGGAAGCAGCTCCTCTCCCTCCCTCCCTGCCGGCCAGGGAGGAGGGAGGCTCCAACTGTGTTGCTTGGCTGCGTTGCTCACCCAATAAGGAGTCTGAGAACGACTGGGGGGTGAAGCTTGCATGCCTTGTGCCGATCAAATCGGCCGCGTTGCCTGAGGACTTGCCTTTGCTCAGCGCTTCCCAGCAGAGAGGTGATGGTGGTTTTCCTTGCTGCATCCCCTTTGCCGGGTTGCTGCACAGTGGGAACCACGACTTGAGGCTTCGTTTGGCTGCTGGCTGGGCTTTCTGCCTTTGGCTTGGAGGGACTCAGAAGTTGAACATACCTGTGGCTGCTGATCCCTTAATTTCGAGGTCCCTTATTTTCAAATCTGCAAGTTGACAGCTATGATTCAAGTGCCCCAAGCACTTTGCTTGAATCTAGAGTTTTTCTGCCCCACAGAGCTGAATGCTGTATTCTCATAAATACTATGTGCTGAAGTGGTTATCTAAAAAAGGCATAGTTCATAGAAGTAGGATGCACAATGCCTGGTTTCCCTCTTGCAGCGAGGACACTGTTAAGTGTAACATGTGGATGCAGTCTTTGGGCAAGAGTTGTGTTTCCGTTGTACCAAGCGTGCAAAAGTACATGGCCGTGGGGCGAAGAGGAGCTGCATCCCATGCACTTAGGCACTGTTTATCTGCAGCTGGGAGGAGCGGGTGGCGCTGTGGTCTAAACCACTGAGCCTCTTGGGCTTGCCGATCGGAAGGTTGGCGGTTCGAATCCCCGCGATTGGTTGAGCTCCCGTTGCTCGGTCCCTGCTCCTGCCAACCTAGCAGTTCAAAAGCACACCAGTGCAAGTAGATAAATAGGTACCGCTGTGGCAGGAAGGTAAACGGTGTTTCCGTGCACTGCTCTGGTTCGCCAGAAGCGGCTTAGTCATGCTGGCCACATGACCCGGAAGCTGTACGCCGGCTCCCTCGGCCTGAAAGCGAGATGAGCGCCGCAACCCCCTAGTCGCCTTTGACTGGACTTAACCATCCAGGGGTCCTTTACCTTTTTTTTTTTTAATCTGCAGCTCACTCCCCTTCTGTGGGAGCTCACAAGGACTCAGCTCTGGAGCCTAATTTCGGAATGCCTTTGAAACAGGTGGCAGCATAATTAAAAATCATTGTGATCCAGAGTTTTATTCAGAACATGTACATTAAAAAAAGGAGAGTCTTTTGAGTGGAACAAAATGAAGGTCTTTTTAAATGCAAGTGGATGGATCGTGATTGTGCTGATTTCCCTTAAAAACTCCAGTCTTTGGTGTTCTTCCCTGAATGAAAGACCGCCACCAGCAGCTTTCTTGAGACAGGGGGTGCAGAACTAATCACTATATTATCTTTAAATAACACAACTGAGATATTTCTAAAATGGGTGGCAGGGGGCTGGCTTTTTCTTAAGGTCACCGCAGTGTAGCATCTCCCTTGATGGGGAAATGGATATCCTTGCAACAGAAGCCCAGCCTCTAGGGCAGTGATGGGCAAACTTGGCCCTCCAGCTGTTTTGGGACTACAATTCCCATCGGTATGGCAGTTAGCTAGGGATGATGGGAGTTGTAGTCCAAAAACAGGTTTAGGGCCAAGTTTGGCCATCACCGCTCTAGGGACAAAGTCTGGAATGTGTGCAACACATGAGTAATAACTGCATTCATTGGCCTGAAAGTTGATTATGTCGACTGGGCCAGTATCCTTCCCTTTGGCAACTTTGGTGGTAACTGTGGTGGAAAAGGAACAGTTTCTGTTGCAGCAGCAAATGCCTCTTTTTCTTGACTCTGCTTGCTGAATTACTGACCGGTCTTCACATCCAGTGTTTATCCTGTCTGTCCAAAATCTTCACAAGCATCTGTGCTTTATAATCCAATGATAAGGATTATCATTGTCTTTATTATTATTATAATAATAATTTAATAATAATAATTTATTATTTATACCCGACCATCTGGCTGGGCTTCCCCGGCCACTCTGGGCGGCTTCCAAAAGAATATTAAAATACTATAATACATCAAACCTTAAAAGCTTCCCGAAACAGGGCTGCCTTCAGATGTCTTCTAAAAGCCTGGTAGTTGTTGTTCTCTTTGACATCTGGTAGGAGGGCGTTCCACAGGGCGGGCGCCACTACCGAGAAGGCCCTCTGCCTGGTTCCCTGTAACTTGGCTTCTCACAGCGAGGGACCCGCCAGAAGGCCCTCGGTGCTGGACCTCAGTGTCCGGGTAGAATGATGGGGGTGGAGACGCTCCTTCAGATATACTGGACCAAGGCCGTTTAGGGCTTTAAAGGTCAGCCCCAACACTTTGAATTGTGATTGGAAACGTACTGGGAGCCAATGTAGGTCTTTCAAGACTGGTGTTATGTGGTCTTGGCGGCCGCTCCCAGTCATCAGTCTAGATGCCGTATTCTGGATTAGTTGTAGTTTCCGGGTCACCTTCAAAGGTAGCCCCACATAGAGCACATTGCAGTAGTCCAAGGTCAGCACCAACACTTATTATTTAAAAAGAAAGCTGCCAAACCCATTATTAACAGTTTGGCAGGGTCAGTGGAGACTGCTTTTGGCTGAGTAGCACAATACTTTCAAACAGAGAAAAGGGCCATAACCAGGGGGTTTTTTTAGCCAGAACTTTCCGGCACCTCTCAGGTGAGCGCCATTGTTATTCTAAGAGAACAAGGGAGGCGTTCGTGGTGTGTTACGGCACCTCTTTTTCTAGGAAAATAGCACTGGTTATAACTCTGCAAGAAGAATATTGTTAATAATAAATAATAATAAATAATAATAATAATTTTATTTACACCCTGCCCTCCCCGGCCAGAGCTGGGCTCAGGGTGGCTAACACCAATAAAATCACAGTAAAAACATAATAGGGGGAAAAGAGAGGGGGGGAAACCCAATTTAAAATACAGCTAAAATGCAATTTAAAATACAGTCAAAGAGGGGTTTGGTGACTTTTTGTGTGTTTTTTTAAAAAGAAAACCTTACACAGTGCTGAAGTTCTTGCAGTGTTTTGCATGAACACAGAACAGCCTTCATAAGCTGATACAGCCAACATCTTTTGGAGGTGAGTGGGAAGAACTTGTAGCGTTTTCTAACTTGATGCTGAAACTGAGGCATGATCTTCTCTCCAGCTGGTTGCATGCATGCAGGGTTATGGTTAGTGTGTGCTAGAAAGCAGGAAAACAAACCCCCCCCCTTTGGAGGGGGTCAGTGAATGCACTTACTGGCAGTGTAAGTTTCATGTCTGCATGGGTTATGCAAAATGTGCTTTCTAAAAGTTCCAGCAGTCAGACTGGCCACACTTAGAGAGCCAGCAAAGCGCTGGGTATGGATTATGGAGATCTGCTCAGCCTTGCAAGGTTGAACTGCTGTTGTTTTTCCCCCTCTCAAAAGTCAGTTCACCTCAAAACCTGGTTCCAATCTATGAAACTGCAACAGGTTAACCTCCTGTAATCAGCCCCTGAGGAAGAGCAGGGACGCAAAGGAACATCTGAATTCATCTTTAGAAATTTAGTAGTTGGGAAAGTTGCTGTGAGCAGCTCTGTCCACAGAGTGGCAACAAAAGACAACTTTTAAAAGAATATTATCTTTGTTACGGGGTGGTTGTGTTGTGGGTCGGAACCCATCATTTGTAATACGTTTAAGCACAGACAGAGGGCATTTCTAAGCCTACTGAGTAACTACAAGTTGATTTTACACATCTGGGATTATGGAGCCCGTAAATGCTGTTTAGACGGAAGGTTCCCTGCTCACATTTTCTGCCAGCTGAATTGTTTGGTGTTGATTCATTGGAGTCACTGGACTTTGGAGCGACTATTTACTCAGTAGAGCTGGAAGTGCACTTTGAACATGCTCACGCACACACACTATGCAATGGGGTTTTTTGATTGTGCGCCATGAGCACTATTGAATCATAGAATCATAGACTTGTGGAGTTGGAAGGGACCCCGAGTGGCATCTAGTCCAGCCCTCCTGCAATGCAGGAATCTCAACTAAAGCATCCATGGCAGATGGCCACCCAACTTCTGTTTAAAAACCTCCAAGGAAGGAGAGTCCACAACCTCCTGAGAGAGACCGCTCCACTGTCAAACAGCTCTCACTGTCAGAAAGTTCTTCCCAGTATGTTTCTGAGCACAATTCAAAGGATTGGCGCTGACCTTTAAAGCCCTAAACGGCCTCGGTCCAATATACCTGAAGGAGCATCTCCACCCCCATCGTTCTGTCCAGCTCCAAGGGCCTTCTGGAGGTTCCCTCATTGCGAGAAGTGAGGTTGCAGGGAACCAGGCAGAGGGCCTTTTCGGTAGTGGCGCCCGCCCTGTGGCACGCCCTCCCAGCAGATGTCAAGGCAATAAGCAACTATTTTACTTTTAAAAGACAACTGAAGGCGGCCCTGTTTAGGGAAGTTTTTAATGTCCAATGCTGTATTGTTTTTAATATTTGGTTGGAAGCCACTCAGAGTGCCTGGGGAAACCCAGCCAGATGGGCGGGGTATAAATAATAAATGATTATGATTGTGATTATCATCATCATCATCATTATTATCATTATTATTATTATTTCCAGACTCTTTTCTTGTAACTTGAAGCCATTGGTTTGGGTCCTAGTCGTGCTTAAACTGGTCACTTTTAAATTTGAAAAAAAGCAGGCATAGGCCTCTGGATCTGAAAAGCATTTCTGATGTGGAATTCGGCTTCACCCAGTTTCCTGCCAGATACCTCCCCTCTTGGCCCTGCTACGTGCCCCATAGCTGTCAAGTGTCCCTTATTTGAAGGGACAGTCCCTTATTCCAGCGCCATGTCCCACTGCTGTCCCTTATTGATAGATGTCCCTTAAATGTCCCTTAAATGATGTCCCTTAAATTTCAAAGGAAGCAGCTCCTCTCCCTCCCTCCCTGCCAGCCAGGGAGGAGGGAGGTTCCAACTGTGTTGCTTGGCTGTGTTGCTCACCCAATAAGAAGTCTAAGAACGACTGGGGGGTGGAGCTTGCATGCCTTGTGTGTGGCTAGTTAATGCAAGCTGAGGGGTTTTTGAATGCTGGACGCCATTTTGTTGCACGTGCTGCTGCAAACTTTGCAGTGCAAAGCCAGGCCGGGGAGCCATCTTAAGTTGAGGCTGCATAGGCCTTGTGGTGCATGTGATTCAGATTCTATTCAGTTGAACCTCTGGTTACAAAGTTGGTTGGGCAGTGTTCTCGAAGCTACCAGTATGAGTTTGACCAGACTGCAGGAGGACAGGAAGACAGGAGTGCCTGGAACAGGTGAGGCTGCAGGTCCCTTATTTTGGCTGCTGGTCCCTTATTTTCAAATCTGTAAGTTGACAGCTATGACGTGCCCTTGAAGATGCTCTTTCCTGCAAATGGCACCTGTGGAGGCAAATAGCAGGCAGGGAAGGGGTGATTTTGTGCCCCAACCTGGTTCAGGAATAGGGCCTGCAGCTGCTTTTCTTCCAAATAAAAGTGACCAGTTTTAAGCATCCTTTTTGAAAGTGCAAACAATGTAATTTTACCCTCAAATAAGAAAATGTGGATTCTCAGGCCTGGAATGCATTCCAGTGAACTTCGTGGTTTGAGTTTTAAGCCTGAAATGTGTACATTGTGAAGGAAAATAAATTCCCTTAAGGACAAGATGTTTCTGGGTGAGCCCATTTGATGTGGGCAGAGGGGCAAGCTCCTGACTTCTTTACATCCTGAATACTTTTGCTGTGGGGATGGTCTTGGGAGTCATTTTAACTTCTGATTTTCTTTGTGGCAGCTCCATGATTGCATGGGTAACTGCTCCCCCCCCCCCCAAAAAAAAGGTGGTCCTGAGTTCTGAATCTGGCAAGGGATTTCATTTCCCTCTACCTTGTTTGTAAGCTCATTTTTGGCAGCTTCTGAGCTGCTTTCCTGGTGACTCTCAAGCCCCTAAGTGGGAAACAAAGAGAGAAATTAAAACCGAGTCCACATTGCTGCCTTGGAGCCAGGCTTCTTTTCACCGCCTTGGCTTCTCCTACAGAGAACATGCCCACATTTCGTTGGATGCCAGGAATGGTCAGCCACCCTTATCTTCTGAACAGAGGAAAGATGCAAAGACCTTCTCTCTGTGAGCCAATGAGTTAGTTGACAAAGGCACCTTTCCCCCATTGATGGGCATTCCTGCACCATTTTATGGTCCTCGCTCGTTTTCTGGTTAACCATGTAAATCCTTTTGTGTTATTCCACACCTCACAGCAGCGACTGGTGCCCCCCTGTTCTTTCTCAGAATTCTAGCCCCCAAAGGTTGGCAGCCCCTGCTTTGATAATAAATAATATTTTTTTTATTGATACCCCGCTCTTCCCGGTTCAGAAAACCGGGCTCAGGGCGGCTAACAACAAATTTAAAACACTTAATTGATGCAACAAAAAACAGCATAAAATACAGTATGAAACGTGAATAACAATAAATTCAGAATTCAAAATCAATTTAGGGGGGAAATCCATCCAATAAACATTAGATGATCACTAGGGCTAGCTGGCTAAATTAGTCCTATTTGGGCCAGCGAGGAGACCAGGGGAGAATTAGCTGTGGGATCCCAGAGCGGGTAATCTTCATAAAAAGGGGAGGGGAGGGAAGGAAGGGGAATAAAAGATCAGGCTAAGTTCAAATTGAAAGCCAGGCGGAATAGCTCTGTCTTGCAGGCCTGGCTTACCTAAGTGGCCATTTTGTTTATTTTTGTTCTTTCCTGGGCTGGTGTGGACCACCATCAGCTGAGTTCCTTAAAGAACCAGGTGTTTTGATTCCCCATGGCTTGGCTTCCTATCCACCTCTTGTTCTGGAAACCCTGATGAGAGAGAGATTTCTAGCCTATGCTGAAGAAAACTGGGTTTACATAGTTTGTCATTTCTTTTTGTAAACCTGGCGTGAAGTCGGACCTTTGACAAAGGTTTTCTCTAAATAAGCCTTCCAAACAACAGTAAATCCTCTTCCACCAAGCCTGGCTGTGCTACCAGAATTGAAATCGGGGCAGGAAAAATGAGTCTTGAGGCAACAAGATTGCAGGTGGGGGGGGGGCATGTTCAATGTAGAAGAGAGGCTGACTCCTTTTGATGTAAAAGGAGCACCAACACCCCTTTTTTAATGTGTGAATGGAACAGACAGGTGTCTGCCCTCATCATCCCATTTATTTTGGCCAACAAACATTTTATTACAGGTGTTTTAACAGGTGGCACTTAAAAGTTAACTGTCCAGGAACATAATGTCAGTTTGCATTTCTTGATCTGAGGTGTAGAGATCTTTCATATTCTGATTAATTCAAGAGGGTTCTGGAAGCTTCTGTGTGTGAAAGGAACAAGCAGAAGGTTCATGAGGTTTGGGTTATACCTTCAGAGAAGCTGAGAACACCTGGCTTAAACTGGGTCTGTTACCTCTTTCTGTTAAGGTCAAAAAGTAGGGACCCTGGGTTTCACTTTTCCTTTTCCTTTTCCTTCTGGTGTGGTGTTCTTTACATAGTATGTTATAGTGTTAAGGTTTAGACTTACTATAAATTCTTGTAAGTTTAAGTCTTCTGCAACTGGTTTTCTTACAGACAGTGCCAATCCTTAGTGTATTGGATTGGTGACCATTACGCTCATTTGCCTTCAGTAGCAGTAAAGCTCTGCGGGATGAAATATAATTGCCTCTGGTCTATTTTTTTGGGAATTCTGCAACGTGTTTTTAAGTTTTTACTATGCTAACTATACGTTGGAATTCTGCTCTGGGTCAGTATTGAGTAGAATTCCATGACACATAATTCCATCCCTGACATGCCACCTAAGCAGCTCTTGCTTTCCTCCTCAGATCTTTGTACGCGTCTGCATGAAGGTGGATTATGGCCGCTTCCCCGATGGAAAAGACACCCTGGACAGTCTGTGCCAGCGGTATGAGGGCATCCACGTCAACTTCAACACTCAGGAGATGACCTGCACTGTCAAAGGCTCCTTTGTGGAGTTGCAGGCCTTCAGCTGTGAGCTGCTGAGGTGCCTCAACAGCAAGCAAAGGGCTGGCGTTCTCTTTGCGAACGGAGGCAGATCGGCTGAGAAGGCTGCGGGAGATGGCGTCTCACACCAGGAGGAGACTCGGGCAGAGAAGAAGAGGAAGAAGAAGAGGGACGAGGAGGAGAAGGCTGCAGCAGGCCCATTACAAGTCCAGGAGTCGGCAGAGAGCCTCATAGAGCCCCTGGAGGACTTCTCGTTAGCAATAGACTCAGACATCTACCTCTACATGCAGAAGTTCTGCGGTGAGGAATTGGGCAACATTTTCCACAAGCAGCAGGTGGGTGTTGTGGACGTCCACAGCGACGGCATCACCACCCTCTACCTGCGAGCAGCATCCAATGGGGCTGGGGGGGTTAGCGCCCTAGTTTCGGCTCACCTGGCACTCTCCCAGCTTTCTCAGCAACTGGAGGGCACCCTGCGGAAAGAGAAGGTCAACAAGCGAGATTTGGGGATCGGTGGCGGCGGGAGTTTTCCAGCAGAGCTGCAGAGCCTCTACCCTCTGCTGCTGATCCAGGAAGAGGAGGAGGATTTCTGCCTCATTGGGAATTTGGCGGAAGTTTCCCAAGCCAAGCGGCACATCCAGGAACTGATTGCCGCAAGGGGGGCAGCGCAGGATCACCGGAGACCCGGCGTTCCCCAGGCAGCGTACCTCCAGGGCCCTAGCTCTCTGCCAGCTCAGCTAGAGTCGCCGGCGGAGTCTGTGCCTAGGAAGCTGAGCTCACCAAAGCCCAACAGCAAAGCCGAGCCCAAGCTGGCTGCCACCTTTTCAGGTCGGGGTAGCCTACCGGCATGGCTGCCAGCTGCTAGCTTGTTTCCAGCCACAGAACGCCCGGCTCCAGAGAGCGAGCGCTCCCTGCCGTTTTTGTCCACTGCTGCTGAACCAAAGAGCCAGATCAGGCAAACTCTGGAATTCCAGAAAGCACTGCAAGGGATGAAAGCAGATCACTCGTCGTCCTCACCTGCAGGCACCGTGTCGAGTTCCGAGGGCTGGGCGAGCCTCGGTCTCACAGAGCCTCCATCCCTCCCTGCGGTCACGAGCGCCTTCAGATCCTTGAACCTGTTTGACACCACGGGGGCTGCCGACTTCAGAGTTTCCGAACCGAGGCCCCACCTCAGAAGGTCCAGCAGCCTCTCGCTGCAGAAGTCTCTGAGCGGCAATAAGTCCATGCCTGAGCCCTGGCTTGCAGCTCACATCAGTGCAGCCCATCTGAAGCAGGAGTCTCAGGAATATCCCCACCGTACTTTGCAGAAGGAGGTCAGAAAGGATGGGTTGACACAGGTGGAGTACAGCCAGGAAATGGAGTCTCCAATTGCCAAACAAAGGCACTCTTTGCACGCCGTCCAAAGCGATAACGGGAGTCCTTCAGGCATGCAAAAAGCAGAGGCCCTCGCAGAGTCTTGTGCTTACATTTACGACAGCTTCACCTACACTGAGCTGGCCATGGATGGACCAGAGGATGAGGCCCTGGGTGAATTGTGTAGGTACCTGAAAAATTTCGACGACCGCATTGTCGTCAGCCGGGACAGGTACAAGCTGGGCCTTATGTACCCCCGCGAGGAGAAGTTGCAAGTTCTGGAAGTGTTCCGCTTGTTCTCTGCCCGCAGGATGGCTGCCCTATCCAAGCAGACTCCCTTCCGTGATGGGAAAATTCAGGGCGAGACATCAGCTGCAGGGAGCTCTCAGCAGCCGAATGGGAGCAGGAGAGCCAGCCTGCTAGAGAGCTCCCTTGGCCCGGACAGCCTTGCCGGAGACACACCGCCCTCCCTGGCTCAGAGACAGGGCAGCGGTTTCCAGCCTGCGCTGGTGCAGAATTTCCCAAGTGACCACAGAGCATGGCAGAGTGAGGCCCTCGACCAAACCCCGGGTGCCAGCAAACAAGGCCGCTCCAGGAGACTGTTGGCCGAGAGCAGGCAGGGCTTGCCAGACAAGTTCCATTTTGCGAGAGACTGCAATAAGGAGGGGAGCAGCCAGGAAGCAGAGAGGGCCCCGCTGGGTTCCTTGCCTGCCCTGCCGCTGCACGCTTCTCCCCCAGCTGGAGAGGGGGTCGCCTCAGATTTGGGCCTGAGAACCGCCAGCCTAGGAAGCGAGTCGGCGGCTGAAGAGTGTGTGCTGTGCCAAAACAGCCACCCTGCCCCGTCCCATGCCCCCTGCCCCCACAAGCCTTGCAGGGCGCGAATCCCGGGAGGGAGCGCTTCACTAACTCACCCTGGCACCTCCGCTGGCATTCCTGGAACCTTTGGAGCTTCCACCATATCCCAAAGCCTCCCTGGGTATATCCGAGATCCGACACTCAAAATAACATACAACGTTCCTGACGGCGTGCAACAAGTAAGTACCCAGCTGCCTGCTCCCTCTGTTCCGTCCCATCCCATCTTCGATAATTGTCAAGCTGCATTTGAACCCTGCAATATATGCTCCCTATTGCATTTTGCAAAGGTTATGGGTCCCGCCAGCAGGAGGGAAAGTCAGGGGGTCTCATCCTAAACTGGCACCCAGCTTACCTACTTAACATCTTGCAGACTCTGTATTTAACCTTCCGTTTGTGTTGCGTTAACAGATTATATGTGGGAGAATGTGAATTGAATTGGGGAGTGGGTGGCGCTGTGGTCTAAGCCACAGAGCCTCTTGGGCTTGCTGATTGGAAGGTCGGCAGTTCGAATCCACACGACAGGATGAGCTCCCGTTGCTCGGTCCCAGTTCCTGTCAACCTAGCAGTTCAAAAGCACACCAGTACAAGTAGATATATAGGTACCGCTGTGGCAGGAAGGTAAACGGCATTTCCAGCGCTCTGGTGTCCGTCACGGTGTCCCGTTGTGCCAGAAGTGGTTTAGTCATGCTGGCCACATGACCTGGAAAGCTGTCGGTGGACAAATGCCAGCTCCCTTGGCCTGAAAAGCGAGATGCGTGCCGCAACCCCATAATCTCCTTTGACTGGACTTAACCATCCAGGGGTCCTTTAGCTTTTAGACTCAGTACTTAACTTTTCATTTGTGTTGCGTTAACAGATTATATATGAGATAATGTGAATTGAATAGCCATTAGGAATAATGTCAGTTGAACAGCACATGTGCATAACAACCAACAATTGTGCACATTCTCCAGTCAGTGTGCAAAAATCTCCAGCTGGCCTTAAGGAATGTGTTTTATCAGGACAGGGTTTTGTATATTCTTTAGATAATATGTGTCAAAGCTGCCTCAAGTCTCAGCTCACAAAAGACCAACGCCTATGTTTTCTTATATACAAAGGTGTTTATTGCAGTTCATGGTTTGCTTGACATCCTAGGCGCGCAGCCTTACGTCTCTTACGCTTAGACCGCTGAAGTCCCCTCTGAATCCGTCCCTCCCCTGCACCAATTTAAGAGGCTTGCGCTGCTCCACCTCTTTCTCTCCTTCCTTTTCCGCAGGGTCCTTCTGCCCGCTGGGGTTTCGCCCCTCCTGGATTCCTCTGACGCTGAATCCCCAGACTGCTCTTCCCCCCTCCTGCGGGCTTTGGGACCTGGCCCCTCCTCCGGGCTCCCTGTACTTCCGCGCGCCTCTACATTTGAACTAGGCGCGCGCGCCAAACCTCTAACTTTCCTTTTGACAGTTACACTACTCCCTTCACTGCTCCCCTCCCCTTCCGGAAGGGCGGCTTGCTCTGACCTCCCTCCTTTCTCTGCTCCCGGAGCTGCTTCCTCTGACACACTGGAAACTCCACCCCCTTCGCTGCACTCTGGTGGGGAGGCTGGTCCTGACGCTCAGCTGCCACTTTGGGATCCTCCGCTGGCCCCCTGCTCCTGACACGTCCCCCCTGGGGCTCCCCTGGCCTTAACCACCGGCTCCCCATTCTGGGAATCCTCTGATTCGCTGGAAAGACTCATGGAATCTCTTGAGTCATTGTCATCCTCTTCCTCGCTGGCTTGGAATTCCTCCCCATCGCTCTCCATCTCCTGCCTACCCTGTGCCTCTCTCCCTGAACCCCTGACAATATGCATAATCCCTATGACTCATCAGAGAATCCGCGCATGTTGGCAAAATCGCTTATACCGCCCAGTCAATATACACGGTCTCCAAGATACAACAGCCTTGGTTTCTGTTGCTCGTTAATGTAGTCTTTTCAAGGTTTCACAACTCGATACAACTGGGTGTGGGCCTATCAGAAATCTTTCAGCTTGAAATAGATTGTATGCATAGTCTCGGAAGTGATGTTAGAGAATGAGGTATTGTAAATATGTACAATGACTGGTTGTTTTGTGCATCAGCTGCTCAGTTCATCTTGCACCTAATATATGTGTGTGTGTGTGTGTGTGTGTGTGTGTGTGTGTGTGTGTTTTAGGGCGGTTCCTGTGCACGGGGCACTGAGCTGAGGGGGTGCAAAATTGAGAAGTTCCATAGTTGAGAAGATCCATTTGGGGCTACCAAATTTTGACCTCACGCTGGGTGCCATATTACCCAAGTCGGTCCTTGATTACAGCAAGCTCCAGAATGCCTTTTAAAAAAATAAAAGTGTTAAAGTTTATATCCCAGCTTCCCTTAAAGAAGTTCAAGGCGTTCCCATTTGTGAGGTCGGTTAGGCTCAATACTAATACAGTGGAAATTCATGACTAAGTGGAGATTTGAACCTGTTTCTTCCCAGCCCTCTGCAAAGAGCCATATTTTGACGCCCTGTTCTGTGTGTCTCATATAATCTGCGCGTGGCTACCTTCTTCTTGAGTTAGAATTCCCTGCCGGTAATTCTAATTGCTGGCTGAATCTCCCACAGTCTGATCCTCTGCTCTGAATGAGCAGCGTGGTTCCAGGTCCTTTGCCAGCAACTCCAAGGTGGTGGCGAAACAACATAGCGATGCTTCTTTTGTACGGAAGACTTTATAGATGCTGCCCTAGATGAAATTTAGATGTTGCAGCCGGGCATAGCAGGATTCCATAGCATCAGTAGCTTGTTTTCACATAAATTTGTTTTGCTATCTATGAGGAAGGAGCGTTGGAATGTTCAGCAGCTGCATTCTGCTTTTGATGATATTGCAGAGGGTGGATGGAGGCAGACATTAAAGGTAAAGGGACCCCTGACCATTAGGTCCAGTCACGGACGACTCTGGGGTTGCGGCGCTCATCTCGCTTCATTGGCCGAGGGAGCCGGCGTACAGCTTCCAGGTCATGTGGCCAGCATGACTAAGCCGCTTCTGGCGAACCAGAGCAGCGTACGGAAACACTGTTTACCTTCCCTCCAGAGCAGTGCCTATTTATCTACTTGCACTTTGACGTGCTTTCGAACTGCTAGGTGGGCAGGAGCAGGGACCAAGCAACGGGAGCTCAACCAGTCGCGGGGATTTGAACCGCCGACCTTCTGATCGGCAAGCCTGTAAGGCTCAGCGGTTTAACCCACAGCGCCACCCGTGTCCCATTACTCCTTGCCTATGTTCACTTCACACCTTTTAGGATTTTTGTTGGGGGGGCAGGCTTTTTTTGGGGGGGGAGATCAGTTTTATATTGATTTGTAATGGTTTTTGCTTATTTGGGAGGCAACTGCCCCCTCTAGACTACGCCCATGGGAGGAGCAGAGGAAGGAAGAAAGGTTGGAAGGGGGCCACGGTCGGAAAAGGGTTGTGAAACATTGGTCTGTCATACCCTTTCCTCCGTCCTCTTTCTATTCTTACCATGCTCCATCCTGCACCAGTTCAAAATTATCTCTTCTTTGAAAACCGAATACAGTGGTACCTTGGGTTACATACGCTTCAGGTTACAGACTCCGCTTACCCAAAAATATTACCTCGGGTTAAGAACTTTGCTTCAGAGAAGCAAACAGAAATCGTGCTCCAGCGGTGCGGCAGCAGGAGGCCCCATTAGCTAAAGTGGTGCTTCAGGTTAAGAACAGTTTCAGGTGAAGAAGGGACCTCCAGAACGAATTAAGTACCGTATTTTTTGCACCATAACACTCACTTTTTTCCTCCTAAAAAGTAAGGGGAAATGTCTGTGCGTGTTATGGAGGGAATGCCTACGGGTGGCATGCCTACGGATTTTCCTCCTCTAAAAACTACGTGCGTGTTATGGTCGAGTGCGTGTTATAGAGCGAAAAATACGGTACTTAACCCGAGGTACCACTGTATTTGCAGAGATAAGGCAGTGCAATGGCATTCCAGCCCCTTAATATGAATGCCCTGGGATTAAGCTCAGCTTTTGGGGAGTTCCTTTCCACTACACACAGAGAGAAGAGACAGAGACAAGGGACTTGCAGGTGACGTCGTCATCTTTCTGTTCAAGTTTGGTTGTTTTTTTTTTTTAAAAAACCCCTCTTCTTCCCAAAGGCTGGAAACCCTTTCCCAGGACATCCGTACCGAGGGGGGCACTTTGAGGCCTTTCTCCCAGACAACGCAGAGGGCCGGCGGTTGATGGTACTCCTGCACAAAGCATTTGAGCGCGGTCTGACGTTCCGTATCAGATCCTGCGGTTTGGAGGAGAGGGTGACTTGGGGACCCATCCCCCACAAGACCTCCATGGAGGGGGGCAAGGCCAGGTACCGTATTTTTGCTCCGTAAGACGTACCTAACCATAAGACGCACCTAGTTTTTAGAGGAGGAAAACAAAAGAATTTATATTCTGAATGAAACAGTGGGTGTATGATTTTTGTGGTTCATGCTGTGGCCACAGACACGTGATTTGACCGTGAGTTTGGGGTAGCCAAATGCAAAAATCTTGAGAATCCATGTGAATCCGTGCTTTGTAACCACGTTTTTGCGTCATTGCGGCCCCATGAAAAACAGTGGGTGCGTGATTTTTTTGGGTGCAGGCTGTAGACATGGACATGCTATGTGATCTGATGGTGAATTTGGGGTGACCCAGTGCAAAAAACCTGAGGATCCATGGGCTTTTACCTCCCCCTTCCCAGACAGCCTCCTTTATTGCTAGCCTCCCTTGTCTCTCTCCCCAATCGCTTACTGATCAACTGCTTCCTTTCAACAGTCCATTCCCTCTTGTTTGCCTTAGTGTCTTTTCCTTAGCTGGAGCAGTTTTTTGCTCCTCCTTTTCTTCTAATTTCTCTCCTCAATGCTTTAGTCTTCCTGTCTCCTCTCCTTGCAAGTTCTCTGTCTTTACCTCCCCCCTCCCAGGCAGCCTCCTTTATTGCTAGCGTCCTTTATCTCTCTCCCCGATCGCTTGCCATCAGTGGCTTTGTTTCAACACCCACTTCCCTCTTTCAAAAAAAAAAAAGGATGATCTGCTTTTTGCCCCTGGGCAATTCAGCTCCAGGGACCACACATTCGCTCCATAAGACACACAGACAATTCCCCTTACTTTTTAGGAAGAAAAAAGTGCGTCTTATGGAGCAAAAAATACGGTAGGTGTTCTATGGGTGGCCAGGGTAGTGATGTTCAGCAACCTCCCACAAGGCCTCAGGGGTGGCCTTGTGAGGTCGACAGGAAAGGGACGACAAAGGAACTCTGGAATTTGAAGAATGGGGTTGCCAGGACAGGAAAGGAATCAGAGGCGGGTGCGTCCGAGGAGGAAGGGTGTTGAGGGGAGAGGATGATCATAGAAAGCCTTAAACCAAGGATGGCCAGTGGAAGAACCTCTCTCCCTGGCTGGTGTTTCCAGCAGCCGCTGTTCAAAGAAGCACTGCTGCCTCTAATGATGGAGGCACAACAGAGCCGAATGTCAGTGTGAAAGGAATGCAAAGATCGGCCTTTGTAGTGGGAAAAGGCTTCTAGACGTTATGGCAGGTGCAAAGATATGCTTGGCAGCATATAGGCAGTTCCTGCTAAAATCCCCAAAGCCAGGGAAGTTGCAGAACAATTTCCCCCCCCCGTTGAGGGATGGGGAGCTTCGGGTTCTCCCTTTTCCTTCCCCTAGCATGAATTATGCAGATTTCCTTAATTTACATAATGCATTACAGGCCAGGGAAAAGGGATCGGGCCTCTTGTGCACAATTTCATTTTATTCCTTAGCATGAAGCAAGCACACAATATTCTTAGTGTTTTTAAGTGCCGTCTGTTTCCAAATTTTCCATCTCGTGGGGCAGGTATTGTAAATCTTTAGACTGCGGCACTGTGATCCCATGCTGCGCCTTGTGCAGAGCTCAGCCACTTTTCTCCAGCTGCTAAGCCCTTCGTTTCATGGTAGAGAGACACTGGGCAATGTTCGCTTGTCATCTCCCTGTTTTCTAGGAATTTCAGCTGAGAATTTCAGCTTTGCATGGGGCCCCTGTGCTTAAACCATTCCATCCCCTGTTTAGTGTCTTCCATGAGATCCTTCACAGGATAACCCAGTTGGAGCGGTGGAATATATATGCCACGGTTCCAGGAAAAGGGTTGCACTGAATGGCTTCATCCCACAGCCCACACCTGGTTTGCTTCTTTGCTTGCAGAAACGGCTACCCAGACAGCCAATACCTCCAGCAGCTGAGTCTGAAGCTGAAAGAGCTGAACATCGAATGAAGGCCAACCCTCCTCCAGGCACCTTGGGAGCTCAGCAGCTTCCCCATCTTCCAAAGCCCATGCTTGGCATCTTGAGGAATTTGCCAAAAGACACACTCAATCCTTAATCAGGATCTTTCCACCATTAACGTCTCCCAGCACTTCTGCCTTTGGTCTTCCGGGCTTCTTGCTACATTCAGAGCACCTGAAGGCCTTTCCACGCAAAGGGATCTTGACACGAGGACTTGCTGTTTCGTTGTTCTTCTGTTGTAAGAGAATGTCAGGAGTGCATGCAGGAGCCGGGCCCTGTGACCAGTAGGGCTTCGCAGGACTGGGGCCTTCTTAAGTTTGCTCTGGAGAGGCAAGGCACGGCCGCACAGGTGAGGCCACTTGGTAACTCACTGCACCTGGTAGCTAGAGCCGGAAGGGATATAAGGTCACCTTTCCCTTTGGCTCTTTACCACAGCAACACGTTTCCTGCCTTGCTGAGTTTGGCTTCGTGACTCCTTGCTTCTTGATCCTCAGACCCCTGACTTCCTGACTCCTTGCTCTCTGACACTTGGACTCTTGGCTTCCTGACTCCTGGCTTCTGGACTCTCGTTCCTGCTCCCACCCCGCCATCTTGCCCCCGGTCCTGACGTCCCCAGCTGGGCCTTCGATCGCCCGTGAACCGGACTGTGACAGAGAAGCTCTTTGACATGAGTGCTGTTCACATGCCTTCTGAAGGGGTACAAGTCACATGAGAGGACTGATGCACTTGCTTTGGTGGTGTACTCAACCAAGCAGTCATAAGATGCCATGACATTACTAATAGGTCATGCCACAGAGTCTGAGGGAGCTCCCTGTCCTGGCTCCTGCCGCAAAACACGCAAGCAGAGTCTTTTACTTGGAAGTAAGAAATAGATTTGTATACGGGCCCAGCAGCCGTGGTTCAGGAGCAGGGCAAGTAGTTCAGAACTGGATTTAAGTGGCATAGATGTCCCAACAAGTTTCCAGCCCCTGCCCGCCAAGCTTCTAAAGACTAGAGGCTGATGTAAGTGCTCGCGTGGAAGGACTCGCTCGCCATGTGGAAATGTCAGAATTGCAAACACATGCTCTGTTGGGGTGGGTGGATTGCTCCTATTCGCAAAGGCAGCAACTGGTTGTAAGGTGACAGGGCTGCCCAGCCATTCCCAATCTTTGCAGAGGCTCTCTGATCTGCAGGAAGGTCAGGCTGGGAGTGGGAAGAGCTAGAATCCCTCCTTCCCCTTGGGGAAGAAAGGAGAGATCCCGCTCCCCACTGGCTTTCTCCTTCTCCTGCATCAGAGCCCACCAGGCAGGCGTTTATGTAACAGCAATTCTCACACAAAAGGGAAGGGGGCAAGGAAGTGGGATGAAGGCCTCCCTTGCTCAGGTCCCCTTGCAAGCATTGAAAGCAGTAAGTTATTTGTGCATGTGATTCGGTGCCAGGCCTAAAGCTACACTATTACTGGGAGAAGAGGACAAAGGAACGTGGGGAGCCTCTCCCAGGCCTTCAGATCTTGGCGTTGTGATCTCGCTCCTAGCCTTGCAGGGAGAATTGTCCTCTGGCAGGGAGGGGTTAAAAAGCAAACACATACAGTAGACCTGCCACTTACTGGTATGCATTCAGTTTGACACACCTGGCAAGTTGCGGTTCTACTGTAAATAAAAGCTCTTGTCCTGTGTCTCCACTTGTGCCTTGTAGCTTGAGTGTTTGAGAAACTTGCAAATAATTCTCCTGCCTTGCTTCCTTCTCCATGGTGACCAGGTTGCCCACATTGCAAGGTTTGCTTATCTTTAAATGCGGCTGTAACTGTAATGGACCCTGTGTTGCACCAATAGACCAAATATATACCTTAGAACAGCGCTTCTCAAATGTTTTTCCATGTACCACTCAAAAAATAGCTGATGGCAGACAACTGGTCTGCCTGTTATAGAAATCATAACACACTGTGCTGGGTGCTGTATGAATTTGATTGCATTTCCGGTTTTAATGTGTTATCGCATTACAATTGCATTCCATAGAATTCAAATTGTAATACAATATGCGAAGAATAAAAGCAATAAGATTACAAATAAAAACCAATATGAATATGTAACACAGACATGTTGTGGGCCGTATGAACGAAGTTTTCTGCCTTAGAAAGTTGCAAGACGAAAGTTGAACTCCAGAATCTATTCCAGGCTTCCTCAACCTCGGCCCTCCAGATGTTTTGAGACTACAGTTCCCATCATCCCTGACCACTGGTCCTGCTAGCTAGGGATCATGGGAGTTGTAGGCCAAAACCATCTGGAGGGCCAAGGTTGAGGAAGCCTGATATTCTGAATGCAAGGACACAGCACCTAGAAATTGTGAAGTTATAATAAAGAGACGTTTTATTTTTATCCTGCCTGCCCAGAGTTTTATAACTCTTCCTTTGGATTGTCTTTTTTTCTGAACCCAAAATGTGCCAAGTCTTTCTTCACATGTAGAGTACCATTATATTATTATTTCCCCCCCAGTTGGCAGATGTGGTAAGTTACAGCCATGTGAATATCAGTGCACATACTCCTGCACCTCTCCCTGCCAGCTGTGGATCTGGAAACTTTCTGAAACTTCCCAGAAAACGCAAATAAAGGATTCTCATTCTTGGCTGCAAAGCTCAGAGTGAATAACCACCAAGCTGCTTTTGAATGAATGGAAGAGCTGAAGATCACAAGACAACGCTTGTCTTTCCTTTTCGTTATGCTTTTAATGAACACCCAGAAAACACATAAGGCATATGGTAACATTAGGCAGACTAGCATTTCATGTCTGAAATCTGTGTAAACAGCATTGGCACATTTGCGTGGTCGACGCACACGCGCACACACACACATACACACACGTGCGCAAGCAGAAAAGAGCGAGCTTCTTTCGAAACACCATACGAGACTTTTGAAGAAGCGCCTTGAACCATAAGAAAACACACAAGCTGCTCATCACGAACTATCAAAAGAGGAACGAATGGGACATTGTGCCACAGCCTGCAGTGATAGGGACTGCGGCCATGTGCCCTGGCTGCTAACTGCCCTTCGTTCAGCAGAGGCGCCCCAGGCCTTAAGGGTATCTGGCAACATTAGTGGTGGCTCCACAGGTGATTTGAGCTGTATCAGGCATACCTGCCGATGACCGTAACGCCTGGAGGCTCCTCACTTGTCACTCAAGACGACACCACACAAAAACACAAACATGCAAATAAAATGTATTGACACAGGCAGGGCCTTCCTTGCATCTTCCCCCCCTCCCTCGACCACCTCGACTCTCGTTTTCCCTTCCACCATCTCTCACGCAATGTTCCTTGTTAACGTTTTCGCGAGCCAAGCTCAACCCAATCCACAACTTTGAGAACATTTTGGGGGGAAGAGCGGCACAGATGCAACTCTTCAAATTCTGAAGGACGTTTACGCCAAGTCTGGTGTGTCCCGCCAATCTGCCTGTAGGATCAATGTTCTTTTATCGCAGAGTTGAAAAATCGAGTGCTTTTAACCCACCCCCAACTCCCTCCACCACCAAAAGAGTTACAGATGACACTATGAATAGGAACATCGTAAAAATGTGGATTAGGCAACTGTGATTTTGATATTTTGCAAGGAGGCCCACCGTCGAGAGGATTTTCTGGATAAAATCCGTGCTCAGTTGAGTTTTACCTCAGGCACCAACACAGGTGCTAGTTTTGGCACATGATGGTTTTGTTTTATTTTTAAATCACTCTGAGGCAACTTTGCCTCTCACATCTATGTTGTGTGAATGGTTCCTTACATGGTGGGAACTGGCGCTGTCCATGCCTCACCAAAATGCGTCAACCTGTAGCTCACATGGGGGCCAGTAGCTTAGGAAGGCAGTGAAACTGAGATAGCCTCATTGCCTTCAGTAATAGCTTGGGTGTGGTGTTGTGCTTAAAGTCCATTGAGCTGGAGGGGAGAAGGGGTGAGAAGGCACACTTGCAATTGAATTGTTCAGACTTTGGCCCTCCATTATAGCCCACCATATCCTAAACAGCAGCCTTCACCTGCCTCGCTTTAGCTCCAAACGCCATTTCATCTTATCTCGAAACAGTGCAACGAAAATCCATACAGAAAACAAGAGCGTTCTTATTGTGACGAGTTTTGCCCTTTGGAGTCAAGAAAACTCAGGTGACAGCTTATCTTCCCCCCCATCCCCACTTTGGTCCTTGAAGTTAAGTACATGCAGTTTCAACAAATTACCGTATTTTTCGCTCTATAAGACGCACCAGACCACAAGACGCACCTAGTTTTGGGAGGAGGAAAACAAGAAAAAAAATATTCTGAATCTCAGAAGCCAGAACAAGAGGGATTGCTGTGCAGTGAAAGCAGCAATCCCTCTTGCTGTTCTGGCTTCTGGGATAGCTGCGCAGCCTGCATTCACTCCATAAGACGCACAAACATTTCCCCTTACTTTTTAGGAGGGAAAAAGTGAGTCTTATAGAGCAAAAAATACGGTATTTTTTTTTAAGAGGGCCAAGGGCCTTTAATACCTGTGGCCCGTTAAAAAAACAAACAAAAAACAGTTGTCTTAAACACACACTCAACACTCATACTCTCACACAATTAAGTCACAAAATAAGGGGGCGTTACTATAAAATTCAAGATTACAGTGTTAATCAGCAAGGCAACAAAGAGCAAAGTTACAGTGCTTTAAGATTGGATGTCTCCTGTATTTATCTTTTAAAAAAAAACTTTAGGTACTGAGCACTAAGACAAATCTGTGTTAAATGTCTAGCACAAGGGGGGAGATATTTTACTGTTCAGGAGGAGTGTTTCAGAACTGTCAGGTGTGGGGGGAGCTGCAAAAAAAACACACAAACAGGAAGGGAATAGGATCATCACTTGCTGTTGCTACGGGTTCATGTTTTCTGGTTTTTCTAAGTGTTTTTGCACATGGGACGAATGCCTTTTCACCTCTCTCTTCCCAAGAGCAGTGGGATAACCATTTTTTAAAAAAGCTACTGAGCCAAATCCATGCTCCTTGTAGCTTCCTAGAGCACATTAATATTCAGAAGTGGTGCTCTGGAAGATTTAAGGCTGCAACCCTACATATATTTTACCTTGGAGAAAGTCTAATTGAGCATCATAATAGGTCTTCCTTTTGAGGAGGTGTGTGTAAGATTGCACAGAAGAAAGACTTTCTCAGCACATCTCTGAAAATGTCCAATGGCTGCCAGCAATTTGGGATCTCGGGAGAGCTCAGCTCAAGTTCTCAGAGAGCACCACGGGTTCATGCGCTTGCGCAGAGGCACACTGAAATGTGCCAGCCTCATCGCTGCTTGTGTAAAATACAAGCCATAAATATTTGTGTGTTCGCACAAGTTCCCGGCGAGAGGGAGGAGAAATCTTCTAAACAACTCAGACCTTACTCAATGTCTGAACAAGGCACTGGCGACAGGGTGGGGTGGAGTAACAACGCAGTATAGAAGTTCTTACCAAGGCAAGGCAGTATTAAACAGGATGAGGTTACAAGAGTTTTGGAATGCCATCCGGAATAAGGCACCAGGCAGCAGCAAGGAGGAAGGCAAGACAGAAAGGAGGATATATATTTTTTTTAAAAACATGGAATAGTGAATTTTTGCACCATTTCCCCTCTCTCTGTGGGAGATGGAAGCTCCATGTGTTATCTTTTTTTCACTTAGCACACGGCAGAGTTGTGAGTCCCGCTGGCAAATGTTGCAATCCTATGCAAACTTACCTTGGAGTAAGTCCTACTGAACTCAGTGGGGCTTACTACTGGGTGAACACACAAGTGACCCGGACTTAGAGGAGAAGAAAAGACTATGTTGGGAGGTTCGCAGCCTCAGCAAGTCGGCAGGCAATGTTTGTTCTTCAGTATAGCCGCTCTCCACTGACAGCCCATCTTGGCCTGGGTTGCATTTGACTGATCTGTGAGACGGTGGCTAGCCAGCCGGCCTTGCCTTACGAACATACGCTAATCTGTCTTGTGCCAAGTCAGAATATGGAGCGCCAGTGGCCAGGAGTTCACAGCTGGGAGTCTTTTGTGCCATCAGTCTTTCCCGACATCTTTCAACAACAGCCAGCAAGGACTGAACTTGCGACCACCTGCCTGCAGTTCATGTGCTCCACTTTTGGCCAATCCCAACCCTAGGGCCCTGTAAGCATTAATCTGACATTTGCAATACTCTTCGCTAAGCGTGGCATGGTAGGATGAAGAATGCTTGACCCATGCTAAATGGCCTTAAATCCAAGTTGCTTGAGAAGATGGGACACATACCCCCTAAAAAAATATATATTCCAGCACTTTACGTGGAGGGAAAGACAATATACCCTGGGACAAAAATAAAAGAGGCACAGCAAGGAAAAAGAACAGAGTTCCCAGAATCGGCTCTTTGCAACTTTTGGTTAGAATAATCCTCCTGACTTTCGGTTGTTAAGATCAAGTTATTTTCCATGCTGATGGTGTAAGAAACCTCCTTGCCTAGCTCACTCGCAGAAATTGCTAATGGACCTGTTTGTTGCGTGTGTGGGTAGCTAAAGGGAACGCCTTGAAAAACATTGGCATCAGCAACTGCTTCAGCAGCCAAATGCTTGGATGGACTGGGAAAGGCTCTTTTTGGCACTCTCACACGCTGAAGGTGCGAGATTCAAAATGTTGGTGCTGACCTTTAACGCCCTAAACGGCCTCGGTCCTATATACCTGAAGGAGGGTCTCCATCCCCATCGTTCAGCCTGGACACTGAGGTCCAGCTCCAAGGGCCTTCTGGCGGTTCCCTCACTGTGAGAAGTGAGGTTACAGGGAACCAGACAGAGGGCCTTCTCGGTGGTGGCACCCGCCCTGTGGAACGCCCTCCCATCAGATGTCAAGGAAATAAGCAGCTATCTTATTTTTAAAAGATATCTGAAGGCAGCCCTGTTTAGGGAAGTTTTTAATTTATGATGCTGTATTGTTTTTAACACTCGATTGGGAGCCGCCCAGAGTGGCTGGGGAAACTCAGCCAGATGGGTGGAGTATAAATAATAAACTATTATTTTTATAAGGTGTGAAGTCTCTGTGACTCCCGCTACAGGGCCTAAAAGGCAGGGATGGAGAACTCGCATCCCTCTGTATGTTGCTGGGTGACTGGCCATGCTGGCTGTGACTGATGGGAGCTCTAGCGGGCCTCCGGTTGTCTGTCCCTTCTTACCATAAGGTAAGGTGGAAACATTCCTGCAGGCGATTCCTGGCATCAAGGGTTCACCGTGAGCCAAAACACAGCCCACGCTTGTCTTCCACTCTCACTATGGGGCTGGGAAGAGGGGGAAAGGGAACCAGGGGGAAATGCCCAGGTTTTACTGTTGCGATTCCCTGTACTCTTTATCGTTTCTTTACGCCAGGCAGAGGCAGAACGCTACCTTCGGAGGTTTGCTGCCTTCACCAGGTATGAACATCAAGGGGAAGTGAGTTGGATCCCTTTGGTTGGACCTAGGACAGCTTGGAGGGGAAACTCAAAACAGGCGCAATTTTTAAGGGCCGTATCTACTCCATGTGTCGAGCTACAGAGTGATGCTTTGTGGCCCGAGGACTTAAAAAGGTTGAGAGGTTTGCTGAAATGGAAGAGAGGGGGGAAAGAAGGCTCAAAGAAGAGATTAGAGCCCACAGAAGTGGCACAACACAGCTTAAGGCAGCACAGCGACTCATTTTCCACACAGACCACTAACCAAAAGTGACAGGACCGGAAGCAGAAACTCTCTGCTCGTTGCAGACAACTGCTAAATTTCGCTGCCTGTTCTCCCACAGCCTGACAGGAAATGTAAACGTAAAGGGAACATTTAGCCAGCGTGTAATTCTGCTAGCTGTGTTCTGGAAGGCAACCGGCCTGTGCCACGCACCTGAAGGTGCTCTTGCTCTCGAAGAAAAACGACGACCAAGAGTTGCAGCAGGGAAGGGTTTCCGTGTCCCTTCCTCCAGCCAGATTGCGTATAGATTGTTTTCCCCATTCAAACATCCAACCACCAAATCATGTGCCATTTACATGACCAGGACAGCTGATTCTGCAAGCGATAGCACGGCTTTTGAGATTGCCGACAAGTCAGCTGATTGCAGACTAGTCAGCTGTTTGGCACCGTTGTGTATGTGTCTACGCAACCCAATTAAAGTGGAAAAAAACCCCAAGGTGTCTCTCAAAAGAAACCTAGGTGCTTTCTGTTGCCTCCTTCACATAACCATTGCAATTGCCAGGGCAGGTTTTTATTTATTTAAAAAATGGTTTAGATATGCTAAGGTTGCCAGCATAGCAAATGGACATTTGCGTACTGGAGGAGGTGACAGGATCAAGGGCATGTCTGCATCAAGATAACGCAGAGGAACAATTCTCTGCCTCTCCTCCATTCTTCGTGTCACAGCAGAGCTGAAAAAGTTGGATGCGTCTTGCTTATTAAATTTGCCCATCGGAAGCGGCAGGTTTGAAGCTCCGTTTCCATGGAGACTTTCGATGGCTGCTGTAATAATAATGTGAGTTTTACATGCTCTAAAGTTATTAGTCACCAGAGGCAGGGGAGGGACTGGGCAGGAAGAGAAGAGGGCTCAGGAGGTGAATTTGGCATGGATTTTGTGGAGTTGTGGGTAGGTTACAAATAAAGGTAAAAGAAGGACCCAGAAATCAAGAGGAAATTTCAGTGGGTGTGTACTTGACTCAGGCACCTGCAAGTTCACATTGGGCCTTGTTATTCCTTTAATGAAGAGTTAATGCTACAAGAGCAGAGATGTAGGATCAATGCAATTCCTCTCTGTGATTACTTTCTATTTATTTACTTTTGAAAGGAGGCCGGCCAATGCTTTAGAGATGGTGCAAAGCGTTCTGTGAAACCCAGAAGCTTGCATCGCCTCCAGAGGCCACCAACCGACGACAATACATGTGTCTTTTCGGTCCTTACACCACTTATTCCATGAACAGCAGTGAGAGATCTATATGCCCATTCCTACTTCCATCAAAGGGTCAGACATGGGGAGGGGGACAGGTTTTAAAAAAAATAACACAACCCAAAATACAACAACATGAGGACCTGAGGTCAGACAATCCACCCACGCCTTTCACTTTAGTTCTCTGCTGCTTTGCTTTCGTCCTTCGGTGGTGCTTCGGGAATCAGCACAACTTTCCCAACGTTCTTCTTCTCTTGCATCTGCTTCATGGCATCTACCACCTGCAGGGGGAGAAGGAGGAGGGGCTTCATTTTCTTCCTTAAGGGTCTTTCAGCTGGGACTAGTCCTGCCCCCCCCCCCAATACACACACATCAATCCTATTAGGCGACAAAGACAATTGTGGGATCTCTCAGAACTGGTCCCCTAGGAATAGGGTCAAAATTCCATCTGCAACGTTGGTCAGCCATATACAACACCCAAAGGGAGATTGCCCCCCCGGCAGTCTCTGAGAAACAGAAGTACCCAGCCACTGATTTTCAGCCTTGGATTGACAAACGCTTCATGAATTTGTGCAGTCCTGGAATGCTATTCAGATAGCTGCAGCTTTTGCAACATCCACTGCCAACAAACTCAGCCAGTTCGCAATTCAATGTGTGAGCGTTTCCTTTTTACCATGGCAGAATTACTGCTAATCAAAAGGTAAAGGACCCCTGGACGGTTAAGTCCAGTCAAAGGCGACTATGGGGTTGTGGCGCTCATCTCGCTTTCAGGCTGAAGGAGCCAGCGTTTGTCCACAGACAGCTTTCCGGGTCATGTGGCCAGCAGGCCTAAACTGCTTTTGGCGCAACAGGACACAGTGACGGAAACCAGAGCGCACGGAAATGCCATTTGCCTTCCCACCACAGCAGTAACTATTTATCTACTTGCACTGGTGTGCTTTCGAACTGCTAGGTTGGCAGGAGCTGGGACAGAGCAACGGGAGCTCACCCTGTTGCGGGGATTCGAACCGCCGACCTTCCAATCGGCAAGTCCAAGATGCTCAGTGGTTTAGACCACAGCGCCACCCACATCCCTTACCAACTGCTAATGAACCATCCTAACAGCAGAAAGGAATGTTGCATTCAGCAGCTATCAAATCTCTCCTAGACAAGGCAAGTCCAAAGTCCATTTCAGGGGCCTAATCAGTTTAATCCGGCCCCTGTGGCAGTTTATTTCCTGGGGTAAAATCCTAAAAAAACCTCAACAACTTCAATCCTGAAATAAGGTAAACAACTTTGGTTGGCCCTTTTCGGCCCTCAAGGCCCTTCACTTCATCAAATCTGGCCCTCTTTGAAAGAAGTTTGGACACCACTGTCTAGACTCTTCTGATTCTGCAATTCCTTAACCCTTTTTGGAAACCGATTTCAAGGAACAGGAGCTTTTTACAGCTCAGATGCAGCAAAGGGGTGTTTTTTTCCCCTTTCCACCCCACACATTTTCAGCTTAATTAAAAGTGGCTGGAATCCACTTGTTACTGTGTGCATCAGAATGCATAGCCAGGAGGCAACAGAAGGAGGTAATCTCAGGAGAAAACCGCCCCCATCCTTGCCCCCTTTCTGGTTCGCCTGCCTCTCTTCTTCCCCCCACCCCCAATAAGAGATTCCCAAGCAGGGATCATAAGCAACCTGGCCAAATCTCCAAAACAGTTTGAAAGCACACCAGTGCGAGTAGATAAATAGGTTCCGCTGTGGTGGGAAGGTAAACGGCATTTCCGTGCACTCTGGTTTCCATCACTGTGTCCCGTTCATTTCCCAAGCCAGTTTTCAGTGTTGGGTCTTGGAACACATAAGGCAACAAGGCCAGGAGATCTCTAAACAAGGGTTCAGCGCCTGGGAGCTTCTTTTAAAAGGCTCAGCCCTGCAAGAGCCAAACGCCAAGACTGGGAAGAGTGGTTGCCACAGAGAATCAGACCGTTGGGTCTATCCTGCTCAGTGCTGCTTACATCTGAACTACCGGGTTCTCTTGCAGTCCTGCCTGCAAATGCAAAGGATTGAACCTTTTGTGAAAATAAAAACCACACAATGAACTTACTCACTAAAGCCCAGCACTAGATTTGCTGGGGTTGGGTTTGTCCCTTGTTCCTTCTCTCTCTTAATGAGCAGCAAATACACATGTGATCTAATGACTCAACTTATTTCTTCACTCGCTCCCCACAGCACCCCGCCTCATGACTAAACACAAAGTCACGCAGTGAAAGGCTTTGTTCGAAATCACCCTGCTCCCCACGCTAGGGCTGAGCGATAACTGGTTATCAGTATCGCACATAGATGTCAACTTTCAGATTTGAAAATAAGGGATCAGCAGCCTTGAAAATAAGGGATCAGCAGCCTCACCTGCCCCGGGGACAGTCTACGGGATATCTAACAATCTGGGATAGGAGAGGGAAACGGCGCTGGAATAAGGGAATTTCCCGCAAAAAAGGGGAAGGTTGGCAGCTATGGTATCGCAACGTATCACCAGCAGGACATTGCGATATATCAATATCTGACGATATCTGAAATAAGGAAGGAACTATACAGAGGCGAACAGGACAATGTCCTGATGACTACTAGTACTTAGGGGTCCAAAATGGTTAAATGACAACATTATCAATCGACACACACTCCGTTTCATCAGCAGGCAAGGCAAAATGCATCCCAACAGGACTTTGGGTTTTGGACTTGGCTACCAATTGGTGGTATTCAGGGGAATCCAAAGTACGATGATGAGTCATAGTGAATACAAATAATCTGGGACTGCCAGGCTGCCAGCAGGAATGATGGAGGCAGAAGCGGCGGCAGCCTGGCAGCAGGGGCGCAATAATCAGCAGCCTGCGAAGCATTGCCACGTCAGTGGGTGACAGCAGCAGCAGAAGCGGCGGCAGCCTGCAATGCCTTGCCATGGCGGTGGCAGTAGTGGCGGCCTGTGAGGCCTTGCAGTGGCAGCAGGAGACAGCGGCAGAAGCTGAGGCAGGTCGCCACAGCTTCTGCCACCGCCTCCCACTACCGCCAGGAGGACTTGCAGGCTGCTGCCACTTCTGCTGCCAAATCCTGCCGCCACTGCAAGGCCTCTCAGGCCAGTGCCGTTACTGCTGCCACTTCCCATCGCCACCGCGAGTCCTCGCAGGCCACCGCCGCTACTGCCGCCACTCTCTATCACCTCCACAAGGCCTTGCAGGCTGCCACCGCTACTGCCGCCATCTCCCATCACCGCTGCGAAGCCATCTCCCGTCACCACCACCTGTGCCTGCCTGAAGCTAATTTCTCATCCTCTCTCTCCGTGCCTCTCCTGGTTCTAAGAAACCAGGGAGGAGGGGAGCTGGTCACAGCAACAGACTCTTCCCAGTCTGTTTCATCTCTGACTCTCCCCCCTCCCACCCCAGCTTCAGCCTCAGCCTCTACTTCTTATTCTGGACTTCTCTCTGCCACAGACTCTCCCAGCTCACTAAACCCTGTTGCCTCTTCAGCTTCCAACACCTCCTCCCAGTCTTCTCCATCTTCTCCCTCTGTCCCACCACCCATCCCCGGGCTCTGAGTCTTCTTCCCTTGGGGGGCTTCCCCAGCTAGTTCCTCCCACCATTCCCCTGCGTTCAACCAGTCCGTAACAGTAAGATACAATCCCATAATTCCTGGAGGGAACCATCGTGTGTTGAAATGCTGTATGGTGTGGACGGGACCCTAGTCTACGCCACCTCCTGAAGATGAACGCTAAAATGCTCCCCCCTTGACTTTCTCATCTCCAGGCTGCACATCCCCCTGCTATTACAACTCTTTCCTCACAGGGCTCGGTTTCCAGCTTCCTCAACGTTGTGGTCACCCTCCTCTGGAAACACAACACAGTTTAGCAACGTCTTTTTGTTATATGTGGCACACCCAGATCCACAACACAACCTGAACAGAGGAAAATCATTGTTCCCTGTGTGATCTGGAGACCGTGCTCCTGTTAACAGAGCCAAAGATTGTGTTAGCCTTTTTAGCTGCTGCATCTCGCTGCTGGCTCCTGTTCAGCTTGTGCTCACACCTAAAGCCCCTAAATCACTTTGCATGTGTACAAGCCAGGTCCCAACCACCCCCATCCTATAGGCCTGCCTGTGATTTCCTGCGGCTAAACGGAGGGCCTCCCTTTTATCTCCACTGAACAGCCAAAGCCCTGAAATCACACCTAGAAACCGATCGCGTTAAGGACAAGAAGAGCCCGGTGCGCTGCCGCCCACACTCACCTGATCAAAGGGCCAAACGGAGTCCACCTTGGGCTTGATTTTGCCTTGGTTGTAGAGGGCAATCAGCTTGTTCACCACACTGCTCAAGAGCTCCACCTCCTCATCTAGGTAGCCCAGGTGGTAGCCGCAGACGGCCTTGTTGAGATGCAGGAGCTGCAAGGCATTGATGCTGAACTGGTTCCACCAGGTCTTAGCCATGGCCATCAGGTTCTTCCTCTGCCCTGTTACCAAGTTGGCTACACCTGCCAAGCGGAAAGACGTATCATTTAGCGACTGCCTGGGTGCTGCTGCACAGGGGCCAGGATGTCTTGTTTTATATATCTGTAAATTTTTATTAAATTTTATGTTCTACAATTTAGAATACTCATTTGAACAGCCTTAAAATCTCAATTGACTTCCCTTCTTCTCTTTCCATGGTTCATTTTGCAAATCTTAAATCCCTGCATATTTTACATAAACTAAACCATTCAGTATTCCATTATTGCATCCATCGAAACTTATTTACACTGTTGAATTTACCTTAATGCTGCCAACATTTTCAAGTGTACACAATTTCCCCCCATATATTCAATAAACATTTTCCAATCTTCTCTAAACGTATGTTCTTCTTGTTCTCTTATTTAGGTCTGAAAGCTGCACATATTCCATCAGCTTCAGTTGCCATTCTTCTTTAGTTGGGACTTTGTTCGTTTTACATTTTTGGGCTAACAAAACATGGGCCGCAGTACAGTGGTACCTTGGGTTAAGAACTTAATTTGTTCTGGAGGTCCATTCTTAACCTGAAACTGTTCTTAACCTGAAGCACCACTTTAGCTAATGGGGCCTCCCGCTGCCGCCACACAATTTCTGTTCTCATCCTGAAGCAAAGTTCTTAACCCAAGGTACTATTTCTGGATTAGCAGAATCTGTAACCTGAAGCGTCTGTAACCCGAGGTACCACTGTAGCAGCATACAGTGGCCAGGATGTCTTGGAAGGTTAAACTCTATTCTCCTACACAGGCAACCTCAGTCAAGTCTAGCTGAGCAATTAGCCTCTCCCTGGCCATGACTTTAAGAACAGGAAAAGCAGCTGGGAAGGGAGGATTTTTAAAAAAACAAAAAACCCACGATTTTATAAATTGTGCGTCTTTGTTTCTCAATTTGTTCCTTTTACATGATTCTGCATGTATTGTGGTATTTTATGCATTGTGGCTTGCAGTTATCTTTGTTGGTCATCGTTTAGTAATTACCACTGTAATTGTTCTGAGTGAATTTCTGCTTAATTTGCTGGTGTTTCGAGAGTTAATTTTGTTGTGTGCTATTACACAAGAGTTGCTTAGGGGCAACTGACAAAGCGTTCTGCATGTGCTCAAAGCCGCTGTCTCACACTGGATCATTCTCTTAGGCAGAGGCTGAAATCTTCAACTAGGAAAAACTAAACCCGTGCTTGGAAGAGCATGTGAATGTAAATCCTTTGCATGTATTCTTCCTTAGCTATATGGCCTGCTAGTAAAGGCCTTGGAATATTTTAAGAAGTGCTTGGACATGGCCTTAATCTCAAGAAAAGCGTCAGTATTGCACATGATTTGGCTTCCTAGGTGCAATTTAGCTACTCTGCCCAAAGTGGAGGCAGACAATCTCTGCAGCACCTAGGTCCCCAGCCCCACAGGGCTTCAAAGGCCAAGGACCTACACTTCCCCCCTCCAGAACAATGGGGCCCTGAGCTATACCAGTACCTCCCCTCTTTTGCAACTGAGCTTCAGTTTATCGCCCTTATCTAGTTCGTTACTGATAGCCAATTCAAGGCTTCCTGTGCCTTGCCAGAATTAGATGTCAAGGAGAGATGGAGCGAGGTGAGCTGGAGTTTTGAAGGGGGCCGTCATCAGTACCTGCCGACACTCCAGAACCCCAGGTGATCTCACTCGGTGGTTTCATGTGACTGAAAGGCAGCACAAGGAATAAACCACAAGGCACAAATGCCAGGAGAAAGGGTAACAGGAGGCTTCTAGTAACACTTCCTGGAAGCAGCCATCCAGGAAGATAGAGCTACTGGAACTCGGTGGCCCTGAACCACAGAAGGATAACATGGCCAGTGATGGCCATAGCCACTGAGAGACTTGGCAGTACCAGCTGTGAGGGCCTTGTAGTATTTCCCTCACTGCGAGAAGTGAAGTTACTGGGAACCGGGCAGAGGGCCTTCTCGGTAGTGGCACCCTCCCTGTGGAATGCCCTCCCGTCAGATGTCAAGGAAATAAATGACTGCAGTCGTACCCTGGAAGTCGAACGGAATCCATTCCAGAAATCTTTTCGACTTCCAAAATGTTCAAAAACCAAATCACGGCTTCTGATTGGCTGATCGGGTTCCAAAAAGAATGTCCGCAAACCGGAACGATCACCGGAACGGTTTGCGGCGTTCGAGAGCCAAAACGTCCGAGTTCCAGGGCGTTCGACAACCAAGGTACAACTGCATTTGGCTTTTAGAAAACATCTGAAGGCAGCCCTGTTCAGCGAAGTCGTATTGTGTTTTTAATATTCTGTTGGGAGCTGCCCAGGGTGGCTGGGGTAACCCAGTCAGATGGGCAGCATATTATTATTATTATTATTATTATTATTATTATTATTATTATTATTCTCCACCCTCCTTCTCCCAATGTAGGCCATTTATGTCAAAACCAGGTTCAAAATCAGGCTGAAACAAATTTAGGTTTTGTAATGAATTCATAACCATAAACGGCAGCCTGGTATGTGGGGTCTTTACACTGCAGAACTGGAAATGACAGTGATCTTTTTTGGAACACCATGTTGGCGTCTGCAAAGGCCTGCAAGTTTCAACTCTGAAACTTCTAGATGGCCACCCCGGGGTTGCAAGATTCTGATCTCCGCTGCCAGTTCGACTGTGTAAAGGCTTTGTCTGCGAGCACAGAATTACAGTGTGCTCACTGCCGGAAGCAGGGGGAGAGAAGCATTCAACAGCTTTGGCGTTTGACTCCCACATGCCACAAAGCTTCTGTCACAGCTGCAGGGCGCTCAGTTGACTCAGATAAAGGGGGATGGTGCTTCAAAGGCTCTTTTGGAGATAGAAAGATGGGAGCTTTTGGTCTGACCCCAGGAAGCCAGTCCTTGTACATTTCCATTTCTCAGGCTCCAGAGGCTGAGCCTTGAGCATTGCAAACTGGTTCCAGCGCAGAGCTGAGCTCCACATTTAAAGCGCAGCATTCTGCACATGCGCAGAGGCATTTTCTTATTCGAAGATTCGAGTTTTGCGCTTTGGGATTCAAAAGATTCCAGGGCTGGGTGGAGCCTCAATTCAGTTACCCAACAAGTTTTCTTTACTCACCGTAGGTGACTAGTTTCCCCATTGGCTTCAGGAGATTAAAGCCTTTTGTGGTATCTGAACCCCCCAGAGGGTCTAAGACGATATCTACACCTAACAAGACAAAGAGAGAAAGTTGCCGTTACAAAAGATTTATAAGGACCTTCCAGTATTCAGGAACAAATGTCCAGTTCCACGTCTGAAATATATGTTTCTGGACAGTTGTAAACACATTTCCCCTAGGGGAACATTCCAAAAAATGCAGAAGGGAAAGCCCTGATCTTTTTTAATATTAAAAAGACTATAATGTGATGTGTTCCCTTGGCCAAATTTAAACAGCACTCTAGCCTAATGAAAGGAAAGAGTGCTTTTCTCTCCAGGCCTCTTGTTTTTAATCAGAAGAATTAATTGCTTAATTTAAATTACTACGATTAATTATCGAAGAGCCCCTTAACAGCTTTACAAATCAGGATAATAAAAAAAAAACTTTGTGGAGTTTTGCAACAGGTTAGCACAATTCGGCTGAAAACCACGTTGCAAGCAGAAACCCAGAGATGGAGATCATGATAATGATTGTTATTTTATTGTTATTATTATTTGTTGAATATGTTGGTTGCTTTATCTTGCCCAGGGTAACCCCAAAGCAACGTTCAACCAATCCAACAGGCAGGCAGGCAGACAATAAACCCCACATAGGTACGTTAAAACCAGGAGGAAGAGAATTTTTTTATAAACATCCCATACACTTCTAAAAGGCCACAGATAGTTAAGGGCCAAAGGTCTAGTTATATGGAGGAAAGTTTTTGCCTGCTGCACCCTGGTTCCAGAGCTCTCTGCCTCTGCTCTGTTACTGACCTTTGGGGGAGATTTTCCGTACTTCTGCCACATAATCAGCTGTCCGATAGTCAATTGGGTGGGTGACTCCATTCTCCTTGAGGATTTCATGTTTGGAGGCAGAAGCTGTACCAAAAACAGTGACGTTCTCCACAGTTTTGCAGAGCTGGACGGCTGCAGTCCCCACGCCACCTGGAAGGAGGAAACAGAGGCAAGTGAAGCCGCGCACTGTGGCGCCACTGGCAGCCAAGGGGCCTCGTTCAACTCCATCCCAACGCGGGAAATATTCTCTCCACTCGCTGCCAAATTCAGTAGACAGTAGCTGCTCCGTTGGCCCATACAGAAGACGACGCGGATTGGCTTATGAAGAGCCAAGGAAAAGTTGGCTTCACAGGAATGTATCAGCGTTCATCGCTTCCCGAGCCTAAACTAGCCTAAGTTAAGATCCATCAGAGATGTTCTCTCCGGTAATATCAAATCAAAAAAGCTTCAAGGCAATATGTATGCCAGGAACCGGGTCCTCACAGGGCCCCCACTGCTGAAATTTGGATCGAAAGAAGCATCTTCTACAGATACCGTATTTTTCACCCCATAAGACGCACCTAGTTTTTAGATGGGGAATGCAAGAAAAAAATATTTTTAAAGGGAGCGCTGAGCAGAGCCTGTATGCATCGTCTTATAGAGCAAAAAATACAGTACTTCTTTTAGAAAAGCCTCAAGAGAATATATAAGCCAGGAACCTGGCACCCACAGGGCCCCCATCCCTGAAATTAGGATCGAAGGAAGCATATTTTAGCCAATAGAATAAGTTGCAGGTTGCAGTTGTGTTGCTCACAACCATTTCTCCAGTTTGCAAGCATTCCCACAGGGCCCCAAAGATTGGCGGCCTCTGATCTATGCTATCGAATTAAGCTAGTTTGAGAATCACGGCAGTTAAACACTTTGGCAAAGACTAGGAGGTCCCGTTCTACTGCGCAATGGCTGCACTCACATGTCAACAAGATACATGAGCAGAATGCTGGTGCACATAGCCTGTTTTCACTCCTCCTATGGTGCTACCAGGTCAATAAATCAGATCACTGTGATGTCTGAACCTGGAATTGTGCTTTCTTTCTCCGTAACAAGCCAGGATTTCACAAGTCTACAGCAGCTAAGCCTGGGTCGTGATCCTGGCTTGTTAGGGAGAAACAAACCATGACCCCAGCTTTGACCAAGCGGCCTTGTGACATATGGGGAAAGGGTGGGTGGTAAGAAAAGAACCTTGAGCACTAAGAGCACTGGAGAGAAGGAAGGATACAAATGTAATAAATACATTCGTAGTGCAGGAAGAGAATAGGAAGTCAAGGACTGGTCCTCTTTCATTGATCTATAGCTTCCTACTGCAGAGGTGGAAATCCTTGTTTACCTGCTGCCATGTGGACCAGGACGCTCTGGTTGGGTCGCAGGTTGCCGAAGTCAAAGAGGACCATATAGGCGGTGATGTAGTTGACCAAAAGAGCAGCTGCTTCCTCAAAACTCATCCCTTCCGGCATTGGGAATGTCTGGTTGGCTTGGACGGTCACAATTTCCTGCCAGAGCCCCGACCTGGCCATCACCATCACCTTCTCACCTACCTGGTACAGGAGAGAGGAGAGGACAATCAGGGATGCTGGACTCCAGCCCAAATGGAAGACCATCACAGGTCTACTCATGGGATGGGGAATCTTCATCTCTCTGGGTGTTGATGGGCCGCACATTAACCCTGACTACTGGCCATGCTGGGACGTGGGTGGCGCTGTGGGTTAAACCACAGAGCCTAGGACTTGCCGATCAGAAGGTCGGCGGTTCGAATCCCCACGACGGGGTGAGTTCCCGTTCTTCAGTCCCTGCTCCTGCCAACCTAGCAGTTCGAAAGCACAAAGTGCAAGTAGATAAATAGGTACCACTCCGGCGGGAAGGTAAACGGCGTTTCCGTGCGCTGCTCTGGTTCGCCAGAAGCGGCTTAGTCATGCTGGCCACGTGACCCGGAAGCTGTACGCCGGCTCCCTCGGCCAATAAAGCGAGATGACGCCACAACCCCAGAGTCAGTCAAGACTGGACCTAATGGTCAGGGGTCCCTTTACCTTTACCTTTTATTGGCCATGCTGGCTGTGGTGGATAACCTTTTACAGTCCAGAGGGCCTCGCTGGCAATCTTCCAGAGGTGTGTGCTGGTGGTGGGCGGGGCCAGGGGAAAAACTGGGCGGAGCAATGGGTGTGACTTCTCTTTGCATGGTAAAAGTCAGAGGTTTCCAGCACACGCCCCACACCTCTCTCTCTGCTTCACCCAGGCAAGCGAGAGGTATCATCACAACAGAAGGACACAAAGCCTGGCCAGCCAGGCAAACACATTTGCGGAGAGTGGTGTAGCTAAGAAAGTCTCAAAGGCCCGACAGAGAGACCTGGAGGGGCACACGCTGACCCTGGGCCCCACCGCTGACCTAAGGTTACCAGACGTCTCCATTTCCCGGGGACAGTCCCCGGATTTACAAATCAGTCCCCGTACAAAATCCATTGAAGTTGAAAAGTGTTCCCGGATTCATTGAAAAAAACATGGTAACCTTTAAGGTAAAGGTAAAGGGGACCCCTAACCATTAGGTCCAGTCGTGACCGACTCTGGGGTTGCGGCACTCATCTCGGTCTATAAGCCGAGGGAGCCGGCGTTTGTCCACAAACAGCTTCCAGGTCATGTGGCTAGCATGACTAAGCCGCTTCTGGTGAACCAGCACAGCGCACGGAAACGCCGTTTACCTTCCCGCCGGAGTGGTACCTACTTATCTACTTGCACTTTGACGTGCTTTTGAACTGCTAGGTTGGCAGGAGCAGGGACCGAGCAATGGGAGCTCACCCCATTGCGGGGTTTCGAACCGCCGACCTTCTGATCAGCAAGTCCTAGGCTCTGTGGTTTAACCCACAGCGCCACCCGCGTCCCTATGGTAACCTTACGCTGACCTGAAAAAAGGTCTGAAAGCAAAGAAGGGAGCACAGTGCTCCCCCCTCTCTCTGAAGACCCGTCCACCCATCTGGGCAGTCACAGATGAAAAATACACAATCCAGGAACAGTTTTTTTCCAGCCCATTCTCATTGGTTGCCCTTAGCAGGCTTGCAAAGAATTGACTACAAGCTCAAGCCTGGAGGGAGGAAGTCTGGCTTGCATGGCAGTTGGTGGGCAGAAAGGACCCCACACCTCCTTGTTTTCTGCCTCGAGGCGTTGACTTTTGGGGAAGTAGCCATTGCCCTTTTTAACTCTGCACCACCCAAGGGGGTTGGGAGTTACAACTTGCATCTAGCCTTTATTGGCATAAGTTAAAACAGTAAAAGCATACAAAGCCATCCAAATACATTGATAATCCAAACACATGCAATATACAAAAGACTAGATAACCACCACTGAATAAACCAGGCAACTTTACATTTAGCTTTAAAGATCTCGGCTAAGTACCCCGAAACAATCTTGGTAGTTTCAGGAGTATTATCCCTCAACAAATATTGGATTACAGAATCTCTGCAAATTATTATTTTGATATTTAAGGGAGTCACTAGGAGATCCCTGTGATGGGTGTTGAGAAGAGGGTGATCCAAAATTATGTGATATATTGTACAGTCTAACCTCGGTTCCCGAACACCTCTGTTATCGTACGTTTTGGCTCTCGAACATCAAAAACCCAGAAGTAAATGCTCCGGTTTTTTAACGTTTTTCGGAAGTCAACGTCCGACGTGGCTTCTGCTTGAGTGCAGGAAGCTCCTGCAACCAATCAGAAGCTGCGTCTTGGTTGTCGAACGTTTCGGACGTCAAACAGTCTTCTGGAACGGATTATGTTTGACAACCAAGGTTTGACTGTATCTGGTGTTTTCTTATTACAGGAACAGAATCTACCCTGGAAGCGGATTTTTTTGGAACCTTCCAAACAATAAAGATGAGGGGAATGCATTTAGACGAGCTAGCATAAAAGCTCTGTGTTGCGATTGAGTTTCTAAATTGTAAAAGTAATTAGGTGTGTCTCTATGGTGAGGCTGCGATCCTAAGTAAGCAGATGAACATACAAAAGGCTGGGAGGGGTAGAGTTTTTGGATTTCATGATCTATCAGTCTCTGCTTGATGAGAGACAAGATCTGTGAGTCTTCCAACAGAAGAAGGGAATCTATTGCAATCCCCATTTGCCTGAGTTTGAGGGTAATAGCAGAAAACCATGGAGAATTATGTGTATCTCAGCGTTGAGAGTTGTCAGGAGACCTCTATTTGCACCACCGTGAGCTATGATTGCCAGAGTAGTTTCACAGTCAATACCTCTTCCCAGAGAACTCTGAGAATTAGGGTAAACTCACGGCACCCTTCACAAACTACAGTTCCCAGGAATTTTTTTTTGGGGGGGGAGGCCCTGGCTGTTTGAAGCAATATGAAACTACTTTAAATGTATAGTACAAATGGGTCTCGCCTTACAAGTGAGGGTGGAAACAGCTGCTCATGTTCAGTATAAGTTCTACAACTTGTTAAAAGGGATCCTGGCCCTTTGGGTTAGTGGAGGGAGCGGGTGAGAGATAAACATGGGCCCAAGCACAAAAGCACATGGCAACGCACGGAGCCAAAACAGTTCGTATTTGTGTGGGTTTGGCAATAAATGCTTGAACACACACACTTTTGTCACAGCCAAAGGGGCTCAGCTGGGAGCTGCTCAATACAGTGGTACTTCGGGTTACATACGCTTCAGGTTACAGACTCCACTAACCCAGAAATATTACCTCGGGTTAAGAACTTTGCTTCAGGATGAGAACAGAAATTGTGCAGTGGCGGCGCAGCAGCAACAACAGGAGGCCCCATTAGCTAAAGTGCTGCTTCAGGTTAAGAACAGTTTCAGGTTAAGAACAGACCTCCAGAACGAATTAAGTACTTAACCCGAGGTACCACTGTACACAAGGATTGTCCCTACCTGCAACATTACATTTCCTTACATGCTTCAGAAATACATGAAGCTGCATCATTCTGAAGGGAAGGGAAAATTCTTCGTAATCCATAACCGTTGTTTGGAATGCAAAACCACAGAGCTCTGGGTGATATTTTCTGGATTAGAGGGCTAGATTGAAAAGTGGAAAATAAGTCCAGAGAGCCAAGCGCATCGTTTCCACCCACTAGAAACTGCAGACCAACACCCGAAGTTGAGCACGGTCGCCCGTTATGTTAATTTCAGGTATTCTTGTGTTCTCAATCTGAAACTGAAGATTCCTAGAAACACTTCAAAGCAAAGGTCCAGAAACAGCACATGAACTTCACTTGTGGGTAGGAGGCCAGGAGAGGGAAGAAACAGATTCTTTCCCTTCTTCAGCAATGTGCAGCTGGAGAAGAAGACTGGGTTGAGCTCTCAGGAACCCTCTCAATTTTCACAGTGTGATGGGGAGGTCACCATGCAAAGCCCATTTTAACCCTTGGTTCTGTACCACATATACTAGGGCTCCCAAAGACCCTACAAAGAACCCCCCCGGGCATCCAAAGACCAGTTGCCTCTCCAGGGAAAGCCTCAGATTCCCAGGCTTGTTTGGTTTTAAGTAACTTTCTAGCATTTTTGCAGAAATCAAGATAGGAGGCAAACTCCCACTGCAAGAAACTAGCCTGCTCCCACCTTTAGTCGAGGAACGAAGTCACAGAAATGATTTCAGCATCTGGGAAAGCAGATCTTGGACAAAGAGAAAGCTACAGTGAAAGATCCGTTGTCCAGACTCCAAAGGCAGTAATTATTGGTTCATTTTTAAAGCTTTTTTTCTCTGCTGGCCTTCCCTGGTGGAGGCTGCCCCACAGAAAACAGCTCAGATATACAGAATTATAGACTCATGGAGCTGGAAGAGACCCAAACAGCCCACCCCCCTGCAATGCAAGAACGAGAAAGAGCAGAGCAGGCTGCGTCGAACTCACAACTGCTCAACCACAGCCATTTTTAGCATCCTTTTGCGAAGCAATACGTCCATTGCTATCTTCTGTTTTCAAGTCCATACAGGTGATCATAACATTTCACACTCGGGTCATATTCCAGTCCCACACTTGTGAGTCTGCACACATTTAAAAATTACTCTGCTTATGCCAATGCAGAGAAAGTCCATCACTGGCACTTTCGTCCTCCTCCTCCTCCTCCTCTTCTTCTTCTTCTTCTTCTGTGATCACTCGTAGCTGAATAAGATTGTCTTCCATTAATACAGTCTTAACAGTGAGTCAGTGAGTGACTATGGAGGCCAATTCTGGATCCACACGTCCTGAGTTTGAGTGTCTTCAAAGCCCATCAGGGGTGTAGCGTGGGTTGTCAGGACCCGGGGCAAGGCAAGTAATTTGCACCCCCTAACCCGTGGATTTGCGCCCCCTAACCCTAACCCCCAGATGTTGCGGCCGGTGCGGCCGGCCCCCCCTGCACCCCCCACGCTACGCCACTGAAGCCCATGACACCTTTGGCAAAGGCTGTTCTCCAACTGGAGCGCTCACAGGCCAGTGTTTCCCAGTTGTTGGTGTTTATACTACATTTTTTTAGATTTGACTTGAGAGAGTCTTTAAACCTCTTGTGTTGACCACCAGCATTACGCTTTCCATTTTTAAGTTCGGAATAGAGTAGTTGCTTTGGAAGACGATCATCAGGCATCTGAACAACATGACCAGTCCAACAAAGCTGATGTTGAAGAATCATTGCTTTGACACTGGTGATCTTTGCTTCTTCCAGGACACTGGCATTAGTTCGCCTGTCAAGTTACTGACAAGTGACCTATGGCTACACTCCTTTTGCTGGGGGGTCGGGGAGGCAAGAGTGTTGGACACCCATAAAGCATAGTCCAGGGTTGATGTGCCGGTGTTGTCAAGATTTTATTTATATTTTAGAGACATGCAATGGAGGTGGGGTCTGTGAAGTGGACTGCAAAAGACTGGAGATTATGGAAACAATGGAAGGGTAGACTTGGGACACAAGTGTCTCAGAGGCTGGGTGTAACTATGGTTCTGTTACCAGCTCCACCAGAAATGATACAGACTTGGTATATTTATTCCCTCCAGCAAAAAACCCCCAAATTTTCAGAAGCTTGATCTAGCACGGCAATGTTTGCATTAAATCGACTAACAAGATTGCTTCTTGTACCCAGACTATCTTTTATGGCGACTGGGCTCCCGGAGGGCCCATGGAAACAATGCAACTCTCTGGCGCCATTTCCAGATTTCCCCCGGCCCCGTATCTCTCCTGCTGAAAGAAAACACAACCATTTCCTTTGCAGAGGGGGAAATCCTGTGTTTATTTGGCTCTGCTCTCAGGAAAGGAGCATAACTGTGGCCCAGTATCCTTCACCTTCGGCGTGAACCTCCCTCTGCAGCAGTCATAAATACTTTGCATGCGTGTGGAAAGCCAAACAGATGAAGCCTCTTGGCCCAAAGTAGCAGAAGGAGCAGAGTTGGTTTCCACAGCAACACAGGACAAGACAAACCCAGAGCAGTGAGGCAGTTCAATCTCGGGATGGCCAGGTTCAAACTGCATCGCAACCACGGATATATACTGGAAGGCAAGTTCCCCAGACACACACTCAACTCGCAATGCCCATTTGGACAGACGAGCCACTCAAATCTCAGAGGGCCATAGTCAGGGCAAACGATTCTGACCAAGTAAGAAATCCAATCCTTATGTGACCACGAATGCACGATGTTACTGGCCCAGAGATGGACAGAAGATAAAGTTCCTACCAGAGAAGCATGGCAGATAGAAGTTGATGGACTATGCCAAAATGGCTAAAATGACCGGAAGAGTCAGAAATCAGAAAGACCAACATTTTAATAAGGAATGGGGGAAATTTATGACTTATCTTAAAGAGCACTGAAAACAGTTAAAATCGTTAGAAGGATTAGAATATCGCTTGTAGTTCAAGGCTGAATTCTGGATACAATGGAGATGTAAAAGATTTGGATCATCATAAAAGATGCAGGAGGAAATGATTAATAATAGGACCCACCAAGTCCAGGAGATTCCTTGGAATCTTGTTTCTATGATTTATGCTTGATAGATCTTTGTGAAATTTTAATTTGAAAAACCAAATGAATTAATCTATATAAATGAAAAAGAAATCCAATCTGAACACACCATGAATAAGCAGTCTGTGCTCTCCTACGTTTCATTCCCTCTGCACTCATCGTTTCCATCACCGGCAGCACATGCCCACATTACATGCCTGGAACTGAGGGGGACATTTCATGCACCTGAAGAAGTGGACTGAGGTTCTTGAAAGCAGAATTGGCCCAAGACATTTGGGAATGTGAGGTGGATGTCAAGATGGCACCCACCCCGCCCGCCAGGGAAGAAACAGGGAGAGATGATCTACACCAGGAACAAAATGAGGAAATAATAATAATAATAATTTATTTATACCCCGCCCATCTGGCTGGGTTTCCCCAGCCACTCTGGGCGGCTTCCGACAAAAGTTTAAAATACAATAGTGCTTCAAACATTAAAAGCTTCCCTAAACAGGGCTGCCTTCAAATGTCTTCTAAAAGTCTGGTAGTTGTTTTTCTCTTTGACATCTGGTGGGAGGGGGTTCCACAGGGCGGGTGCCACTACCAAGAAGGCCCTCTGCCTGGTTCCCTGTAACCTCACTTCTCGCAATGAGGGAACTGCCAGAAGGCCCTCGGCACTGGACCTCAGTGTCCTGGCAGAACGATGGGAGTGGAGACACTCCTTCAGGTATACTGGACCGAGGCCGTTTAGGGCTTTAAAGGTCAGCATCAACACTCTGAACTGTGCTCGGAAACGTACTGGGAGCCAATGGAGGTCTTTCAAGACCGGTGTTATGTGGTCTCGGCGGCCGCTCCCAGTCACCAGTTTAGCTGCTGCATTCTGGATTAGTTGTAGCTTCTGGGTCATCTTCAAAGGTAGCCCCACAAAGATAGGCTGCACCGGTGGATGCTGCTGCCTGAGGCGATCGCCTCAACACGCCTCATGGATGGGGCGGCCCTGCTGGAAAGCTTATGGCACAATCAATGTGTTCACCCAGGTATCCCCAAACTCGGCCCTCCAGCTGGTTTGAGACTACAATTCCTGTCACCCCTCACTAACAGGACCGGTGGTCAGGGATGATGGGAATTGTAGTCCCAAAACAGCTGGAGGGCTGAGTTTGGGATGCCTGTTAAAGATGTCACAGGACTCTCTTAATGTTGGTTTAGTAAGGAGCAAGTCTTGTTGTAGAACTTCTGAGTAGATACAAATGGGTTGCCCTCTTGTGAAAGCTGACTAAAAGTAAAGCGATGGCAAGTGGCGTTGCCATCACTGACGTCACACCGAGTACATTGGGCAAAACATTCCTGCACTAAAGGGAGTTGGACTAGTAGACCCTTCCATTATTCTATAGTACTTTTTATTTTATTTTTTCAAAAATATACATTTATACAACACTCTCTGTTTTGGTTTGTAACAAAAAAGAAAATGATAGCAACTTAAGCAAAGATACTTTGTATATCTCACAATACACATGACACTACAATTTATGAAAAAATAAAAAATAAAAAAATAAAATAAAGAAGAAAAAGTAGTTGAGGTTTTAAAAAGACTTCCAAACATTCTCATTGTACGTTATCTGTTAAATATACTTTTACCACACAGTTACTTATTTCTTCTATTTTTTATCGTATTTCTATGTAAATTGTTGATTACCTTTACATACTACAAGGCTCAGTCTACATCTGCCACATTACCCTTTATACCATGGTTCTTGAACTATTTTTTAAATATTCTCCATTCCTTATGGACTTTTTGTTTTGTTTGGCCCTTAACTCTTCCTGTCACCTTTTGCTAGCTGCAAGTATTCTACCATTAATGTTTGCCAGTCTGCTATATTAGGTGTTTTAGTATTTTTCCAATTTCTTGCCGCTAAAATTCCCGTGATTCTATATTACTGTTGGGTACAAGAAATCTATTCCTCACAGGCTTTTAGTAATGAAACTCTTTGTATCTGCCTTCTGCCTTCCCAGGTGTTCCCACAGTTGCTGAAGACAAGATGCATGCAAATGCTAAAAATGCAAATGCGCGTTATCTAATCCCGGTGTGCAATTTAGTTGCCTCCTGCTGAAATGCGGCGGCTGGTTCAGAATACAGAGAATTTCACCTTTTGCTGTCGGAGCAGAGCTAATAGCCAGTCCCCTCCCCTTAGCGCATTCACATACTGCTAACAAAACTGCCATGGTTCGTCCAGATTCCTAATTCCAGGACCTTAGTGCAAAAATACAAGGCCCCTGTGAGCAGGTGGGTGGAGAAGCTGGCTGTTGCCTTATGCAACAGCCGGCAAGCTTTTCCCAAACACTGGATGAGTTCCTGCGTGATATTACACAAGGACAAATGTTTTTATCTACTCTGGAAGACGACTGGTTGTAACAAGCCTTGCAGCTAAATAGCACGTGTTCGTTGAAAGTTACCAACCCAATCTTTGGCTGCCGATGCTGAATATACCGGTTTTGCCCTGTTCCCAAAGCCGTATAATGTCCATGAGAAGCAGATATTGGGAAACAGGGATGGGGGAAAATGGGATGCAAGAGCTATGAAAGTATGCAGCCACAACTGAACTAGGCCCCTTACTGTGTACGCTGACTACACATGTGGTAAACCAGACTTCCTCAACCCCGGCCCTCCAGATGTTTTGGGACTACAACTCCCATGATCCCTAGCTAGCAGGACCAGTGGTCAGGGATGATGGGAATTGTAGTCTCAAAACATCTGGAGGGCCGAGGTTGAGGAAGCCTATGATAAACAAATCCTATGTACGCAACAAACACGCTACTGCCTCTCCTTCCTTTTTCTTTTCAATTATATTTTAAGTTTCAGCATTTTAAACATCAACAATCAAAACACAATTCTGTCTTTTCTCTCTCCCCCCCGCCCCCATTTTCCACAGAGTTGTTGCTTCTCCCATCTGTTAAATCACAATCACGACATTATAGTCTAATTACTTCTGTTGCTCATAGCTTAAACCCAGCTCGCGAGCTCACCACACTGCAATACTTCTCTGAGTAATCCGAAAAAGACACCCGTTCTTCCATAAAACACTGGTCATGTTGCCTTCTTAAATTCAAGGCAGAAATACGGATTAGAGGCAGCCACATGCAAGTGGTGTCTCCCCTCCTCCTTATTTAAAAGAAAAGAAAAGCAGCTTTGGAGGGGGAAAACACAGGAAGCTTCCTAACAACAAGCCAGGAGAGCTGTGCAACAGATCCAGCCAAATCCTGGATAACAACCTGAATTGGGTTACAGGTAGGTAGCCGTGTTGGTCTGCCGTAGTCGAAACAAAAAAATACCTTCCAGTAGCACCTTAGAGACCAACTAAGTTTGTTATTTCGTGTGGTACGAAAGCTCATACCAATAACAAACTTAGTTGGTTTCTAAGGTGCTACTGGAAGGAATGTTTTTATTTTGTTTCAACCTGAATTGGGTTGACCCAGGATTCTGCCGGATCAAGTTACGGCAAATCTGAGTTCCATGAGGGCCTCTTCTCCCTACCACATGTTTAAGTTACAATATTGGGTACAAATATGTACATTGATACAGAGAATTTTGAAGACTGGTTTTTTTAAAAACTGAAGCCAGAACTATTCCTGCTGGGACTTATATACAGTTAGAAAAGGACACTGGAACTTTGTTACAATATATGATTACCGCTGTGATACTTTTATATGCACAAAGATGGAAAGAACCCATTGTTACCAACAATGGAAGAATGGCTGTTAAAACTAGTGGACAGGTGAAATGACGAGATCGACGTTTGATCAGAGAAAAGTCGTTAATATTTGCAAAAGACTGGAAACCTCTCATGGACTTTTTGTGTGAAAAATAAATAATATCTGGATTTGAGGGCAACTGATTATAGAAAGTGGCTTTGTTGCGTGTTATATTGGAGTGGGCAAAGTGAATATTGTTTATATATAGCAGACAGACAATCAAAAGTTCTTTACTTTCTGAATTTTGTTTTTCTATCATTCTCTATCATAACCTCTTTTCTACTCTTTTTTCTCTTTCTTTTTCTACTCCTTTCTCTCTCCCCCCCTTTTCCTTTATGTTTTTAATGTACTTAGATCAAAGTCTTAATCTGGATGAAAAAGGGGGGAAAGATATTTGATATTAAGATTTGCATTTTTCTCTATAAATCCCAATAAAACTTGTTAAAAAAAGTAATAACATTGGCAGCCATGGGCGTAGCCAGGATTTTTGTTGGGGGGGGCAGAACCTCTGTTTGCTATGTATTTTTACTGATTTGTATTTATTGGGGGGGGGGGGAGCTGCCCTTCCCTCCCCGCACCTGGCTATGCCTATGTTGGCAGCAGCTTTCCAGAGTTTCTGGCAGATCTTCCCAACCCCACCTGGCAATGCCAGGATTTGAAGCTCCGTCACAGAGCATACGGTCCTTCCCAACAGAGAAGCAACACATGTGCTGTGTGTATTAATCCTTGCCCTTGCAAACATGCAAATTTGGAAACCGAGGAAAGTGGCTCCTTTGAGGGACAGCCACAGCAGTGAGCACAGGGTTAAGTCTGCATGCAAACCTGAAGGAGCGTCTCCACCCCCATCGTTCTGCCGGGACACTGAGGTCCAGCTCCGAGGGCCTTCTGGCAGTTCCCTCATTGCGAGAAGTGAGGTCACAAGGAACCAGGCAGAGAGCCTTCTCGGTAGTGGCACCCGCCCTGTGGAACGCCCTCCCACCAGATGTCAAGGAAATAAACAACTATGTGACGTTTAGAAGACATCTAAGGGAAGTTTTTAATGACTGATGTTTTAATGTATTTTAAAACTTTCGTTGGAGCAGCCCAGAGTGGCTGGAGAAACCCAGCCAGATGGGTGGGGTATAAACAATAAGTTGTTGTTGTTGTTGTTGTCGTCCATACGCACCCACCCCCATGCTGCATTTCCATTCTACATCCCCCCTCCCCCAAAACTGCTTTTCTTATCTTTTTAAGGAAAGTGCCAGGGTGTTCTTACACATGGTCGCTTCTCACTCGCAAGCACCTTACAATCAATAATTAAAATCCTCGTAAAACTACCGCCAGATGGGACACAGTCTGCACGCTCCTTTTGAAATATGCGAAGCAGCACACATTGCGCATTCAGGGAGGAAAGATGAAAGGCACCCCAGGGTTATTAATGCGTTCAAGAAAGAGACAGTGCGTTTGCAACGCCAACTCTGGGTGGGTTTGCTTGGTTATGTTTCTAGTTAAAGAATGCGAAGGCCAAGGGAGGCCAAATCCAACTTCCTTGTTGGGAGAAAATGCACGAAGCGCGTCTGCTTGTTCAGGCTTCCAATAACAACTACCACTACTACTACTATTTTTATTATTATTAAAAAATGTATACCGCCCTATACCCACAGCTTTCTGGCAGTTTACAACATAAAATCACAATATAAAATCACAAAATACATAATAAACCAAAAAACAACCCAATAACACGCGCGCCCCTGGCAACACATTTTAAAAGGGCATTGCATGTAACTCAGCCAAAGGCCTGGTTATATAGGAACATTTTGCCTGACTCCTAAAGGTGTACAGAGGTACTTCCAGTTGTGGACGGGATCCGTTCTGGAGGTCCGGTCGGATCCCGAGGTTTTCGCAACCAGAGGACGGCTTCTGCGCATGCGGCAAAACCCGGTAAAATACTTCAGGGTTTGCCGCCTATGTAACCCAAAGTTTACGTAACCCTCTGGTTACGTAAGCAGAGGTACTACTGTATAATGAACTTTCCTTATAGCAGCCTATAGCAGCACAGTCCAGAACTACAGCTCCCATCAGCCCCAGCCAGTTCTGGAAGGTTGTCTTGCAGATTTTGATAGGCAACGAAGCATCAAGCAAACAACACATGCTTTCAACTGCTGCAACAAAGCTGATGCAGACATTTCAGCAGCTCATTGGCCTCTGCAATGGGCCGCTCACAAGCAGCCTCTTTACAGGAACAGTGTGACTTCCGAAGCAGCCACACACAGAGCATCACTGCGCACAGAAGGCTGCAGCGGCTACTTCCATAACTGTGTGTGGTTTCCTCCCCAGCCCCCATTTACTGATTAAAAATACAAGCCGCCTTTGAAAACTACCTCTAGACACACGTTCCACTTTGCCTCCAAGTTACCAGCGTGAAAGAGGATAAACTTTGTAGGGGGTGGGGGAACCCTAATGAACTCTTTTTTTACATACTGGTCGAAGAAAAACAGTGCTTAAGTAGCTTCAAAGAGACAACTTTGAAGAGAACTATTTGGAAAAGCCTCAAAGGTCACCCGCAAATCCTGGATGTATTGTTAGGTTTTGTGAACCACCTGGAGATCTAGGGATGAAGGGCAGCATGCTAATTTAATAATAATAAAAAAAGGAATAATTCACTCCCTCCACATCACTATCTCTGAGGTCCTCCAGAACTTGGAGGGTAAAAGCAGAAAGTTTCCCTTCTCCACACAATTTAGGATCCCAATTAAGGGATGCAGGACGCTGCTGCAGGCAGAATCAGACCACCAGTCCATCAAGCTCACTACTGTCTAGTCCAGTGTTTCCCAATCCTGGGTCTCCAGTTGTTTTCGGACTACAGTTCCCACAATCCTTGACCATGGCTAGCAAGGGATGATGGGAGTTGTAGTCCAACAACAGCTGGAGACCCAAGATTGGGAAACACTGATGGCTCTCCAGGGTTTCATGCAGAGGACATTCCCAGCTGCTCTATCTCGAACCTTCTGTAAATCCTCTACCGCTAAACTATGGCTGCTCCCAGTTTTGCAGGGTTCTGTCTCATGCCAGAAATACGCACGGGGAGAAGAGATTGCCCGCTTCAGACTTCAATCTCCAACTACTCAAAGGGAATAGTGAGGCAGGGGCTGAGCTTATTGTAGGATCTACATCAGGCATGTCCAAAGTCCGTTTCAGGGGCCTAATCCGGCCCACCGGTCAGTTGAATCCAGCCCCTGTGGCAGTTTATTTCCTGGGGTAAAGTCCTAAAAATCCACCTTAACAACTTCAATCCGAAAAAAGCTCAAAAACTTTGGTCGCCCCTTCATTTCATCAAATCTGGCCCTCTTTGAAAAAAGTTTGGACACCACTGAGATTCTACATGCAAGCAGGATGCCTGAACGTGCCTCCAATGGAGCCATGGAGTCATTAGACCAGTCGTGGTTCAATGACAGACGGCTTGGGCCAGCTTCCAACCTAGCAAGAGCATCTCAGCGCAAATCATAAGGCCCACTGCAAAGGCCTCCAGGGCACCCTTTCCTTTTACGTTAGAGGGAACGCCTGCTTCAGCCAGGGCCCTGGACCCCCTCAGCCAAGTTTCTCTTGGTGACAATGACTTCATCTCTACAGTTTTCCAATAACCGAAGTCAAAAATCAGGAAGACGTGCTTCACGTAAGAAAGCACGACGGCGTTTCTGAGTGAAAGTTCTTTCTAGGAGAATTCGAGGACGGCGTCTGCCAAAGCTGCGTCTCTAATAAAAAGCAGAAAAACAAAAATGGCCGCCCCAAAGGAGGATATCAAGTATTACCTCATGGCTTTGTGCTTAATTTAATTTAATTTATGCTTATTTTATTTAATGCTGTATTGTTTTTAACACTCGATTGGGAGCCGCCCAGAGTGGCTGGGGAAACTCAGCCAGATGGGCGGGGTATAAATAATAAATTATTATTTATTATTATTATTGAAATGTAATACATAGCACACACTTCTGGCATTAGCTGGAATGCATTGACCTAATTCTCTGCTCTTCCTCAGGTCCAGCTATCGCCTTGTGTATTAGTAATTAATTTAAAATAGCCAAGGGAAGCAGGCTGTTTTTAGGGTGGGAAAGATGGCTAGCAGCTGCCACATGCTATAAAGGGACTTCTCTTGCTGCAGCCAGGAAGGAAGATCACTGCTCGAATAAACAAGATATTCAGGGGAGGAGCAGCATAAGATAGGTGCATGATGACAATCCCAAAGGACAACAAGCCATTGTGATGGATGTTACATTCCTCATCCACAGAGCAGTGCCAAAATCAACACAGACTGGATGCACTTCATGACCACAGACGGAGCCATCCCCAAGTTGACAGGTATCAGTTACAGGGCTATTGTCCAAGAACCAACTCATCAGCCTGGCCTCTTTGAGTGGGGCAGGATTTGCAAGATCCGGACTTTATTTGTATCCATGTGTTTTTAAGCTTTCGTCCCTTGTGAGGGGGTTTTGTGGGAGTTTTTGCCATTGGTTTTACCAGACATCCCCATTTCCCAGGGACAGTCCCCGGATCTAGAAATCGGTTCCCATACAAAATCCATTGAATTTGAAAAGTGTCCCCCCGGATTCATTGAAACAAATTTGGTAACCTTATTTTAGCGCCCATACCATTTCTTTTTCTTTCTTTTTATTAATCTTGTATAGAATGCCCTGGGAGATTGAAGTATTCTACTGGTTTCTCTGTCTTGTGATTCCTGGCATCACAAGATCTCAAAGTAGATGTCATATTACAAAAGAATTTCAGAAATAGACTGGAAAGAGAAGTGGCTGAATTGCAACTTATTACCAAACTTAGAACCATGGAGAGACCTGGTCTGAACAGAGACATTGGATTCTTATCTCATTATACATGATAAAACTATTTTTAGCCCTCTCACCCCTTACTTTTTCCTGTAAGACCAATTGCAGTCGTTAACAGTAGTCAACAGGTTTACCACACCTATCAGCCAATCACCCATTCCCACCACCGTTCTGAGTAATTTTTATTTTTTATTTTTGTTTTGACTATGGCAGACCAACACGGCTACCTACCTGTAGTTTGAAACAGAAGCTGAAACTACAGGCAATGAAAAGAAACAACACACATAATAACATGGCGAGGCCTCTAACTCAAGGGGAAAGGAAACTGTCGATCTTTCCTTGATTACGCAAGGTTCTCAGGTAATCCAACCTGGCGGTCCACACTTACTCTCGACCATTCTGAAAGCGACAGATGAACATGCCCTGTCTCCTGAGGGCGTGCACCAAAAGCAAAATGGCAGGGCCTACACAGCAACAGTTGCACATACGCTTGGATGAAGCCTATTATCTTGACTTATTCCAATTGGGGTTCAGGCAAGGATATGGGACTGAATCCGACCTTGGCCGCCTTGAGAGGGGAGTCAAGGGGAGTGTGACCCTGTGGCTTTTACCTGATCTCTCAGTGGCTTTTGATACCATTGACGATGGCCTCCCGTGAACCAGTTCTATGAGTTGGGCATTGAAGGCACTGGTTCCAGTCCTATCTTCCAGGATCAATTTCAGAGAACAGGACTGAGTGATGATATCGGGTGCCTCCCCATCAGGAGCAACCTCTTAAGAGATTTGGGGGCAAAATTTCACCAGCACAGGACTATTTCTCTGGAACATCTGAATCAGGCGAGGCCACGCAAGCCCTGGAAGGGTGAACTTTGTCTGCTTACAGTGCCTTATTTGTTTTCTGCTTTGTAAGGGTTTGAGGCTGCATGAGCTGGCTCAGAGATCAGTAAAGGCCTAGGAGGATTATTTCATTATCTCGCAATTTTATTCTTCCTGTTTTATGACCGTATTTGAATACAGATAGGGTGAACCTACAGAATCAGCAGCTAGTGGCAATCAGCCCTTTGGCATTTCCTTCTCTGTTACAGCTGCTTACTTGTAAGAAAAAGGGCTGGTGCTGCAATGTTTGTATTACAGTGGTACTTCAGGTTACATACGCTTCAGGTTACACACTCTGCTAACCCAGAAACAGTACCTCGGGTTAAGAACTTTGCTTCAGGATGAGAACAGAAATCATGCTCTGGCGGCGCGGCAGCAGAAGGAGGCCCCATTAGCTAAAGTGGTGCTTCAAGTTAAGAACAGTTTCAGGTTAAGAACGGACCTCCGGAACGAATTAAGTACTTAACCTGAGGTACCACTGTTTGCATGCGATCTTTTATGTGTATATATTGGTGCTGTGGGTTAAACCACAGAGCCTAGGACTTGCCGATCAGAAGGTCGGCAGTTCGAATCCCCGTGACAGGGTGAGCTCCCGTTGCTCAGTCCCAGCTCCTGCCCACCTAGCAGTTTGAAAGCACGTCAAAGTGCAAGTAGATAAATAGGTACCGCTCCAGCGGGAAGGTAAACGGCGTTTCCGTGTGCTGCTCTGGTTGGCCAGAAGCGGCTTAGTCATGCTGGCCACATGACCTGGAAGCTGTACGCTGGCTCCCTCGGCCAATAAAGCGAGATGAGCGCCGCAACCCCAGAGTCGGCCACGACTGGACCTAATGGTCAGGGGTCCCTTTACCTTTTATTTTAATTCTACTAACGCTGAAAATAAATTTTTTTTTACTCTTTTTTTTAAGACTTGCAGTTGAAGGTTTAGAAGTCTTGCAAGGAGCAGGCAGGGCAGAGACAGCTGTGCCCAACCCCCCACTGAATCTTCCGCTCCTCCTTAAGGATAATGGAGATGCTCTATTCCCCTCGCACCCAACTCACAGGTAAAGAGGCAGAAATAATTAGAGAACACCAGGGGACGTTGTCTAGGAGCTGCTGCCTGTCTGCGTTTTCCCAGCACGAGGCCCATTTAGATAGCAAAAAAGCCAGCTGTTGTCTCTTGTGGGAATGGTGGCGGCAAGATTCCCCAATGCCCATAACAGCCCGTCTCTGGCACACACACACACACAAAACCACAACACCCCCGCTAAGCCTTATTAGGCAGCTGGAACATCGAATCTGCATCCCATTACAGGAGCAGACAAGTGCACTAGACTGATAAACTGTGCGTTGCTGCCTGAGTATCTGGCAACAACCGTAACTCCCATCAGAAATTGGACACAGGGTAGGGGGCAGTTGGGGAACCCCCCCCCCGAAAAACTGATAGACTCAAAGCCCTTTTAGAAGCCTCGCGTACTTGAGCAAAACTTTCCCCCTAATTTGCTACGTCTTCCACGAGTGACACAATGCACACAGAGCACGGCTTGAACTGAGCGGCACCAGAGATTTTTGACCTGGCAATATACAGTGGTACCTTGATTTAAGAACAGCTTAGTTTATGAACAACTTGGATTAAGAACGCTGCAAACCCGGAAGTAGGTGTTTTGGTTTGTGAACTTTGCCTTGGAAGAAGAACATGTTTCACTTCCTGTTGAGTCTGTTCCATTTGTAAATTGAGCGCCCCGCTGCTATGGGAAAGCACGCCTTGGTTTAAGAACGGACTTCCGGAACGGATTGAGTTCATAAACCAAGGTACCACTGTATCGGTTTTCCTTCTCAGAGATGGGCTACCTTCACAGGTTGACGAGCCCCACCTGCCCCTCACTTCCCTCTACGGCAGGTGCAGAAACCTCCTTCTTGACCATTGGACCCATAATTGGTCTCGGCCATTCAGTCCTCTGGAGCCTGTCTTCGCATGCAGGGGAAGTCCCTAACTCACCCAGGGCTTGAAACCTTTGAAGCCATTCCCAGGGTGTGGCCGCTGTCACATGCTGACAGCTTCTAGGAGCCACAGCTGGGAGCCAAGTGCAGGATGAGGACTGTTAAGTTGCGGGTGAACATATCAGACGACACAGCAATTCTTCAAACAGCTCTTATTTATTCACAGACCCAGAACAGAACTGAACTGAAGGGTTCAGCCAGCCTGCTTATATAGAGCTCCACTAGAATGCAACAGTAACAACTTTCTGTAACTATCCAATCACTGAACGTCACTTTCAATTCCTTATTTGCATATGTGGACCTGAGTGAAAACTATCTACAGTATCCCCCTGTTGGCCCAGGGTGAGAACTTCAGTACATAACAGGGACCAAAGGTGGACAATTTACTCCAAGGTGTACGATTACCCTTCCCCTAACACCCATTCACTCCAGTACCCACCTGGGTATCCTGGAGGTTGTCCCAGGGACCTTCCGCTCTGCCCGTGGGGTACAGTCCTTCCCCATTAACTCAGCAATCCCATAAGCCACTCTATGAATCATCACTGGTCAGAAGAGAAGCTAGCTGGATCAGGCCGGGAAGGAGGCACAGCACAATGAGACTGCAGGACATATTCTCCACCCCACCCCCAAGCTCATTGGCCACTTCTTCTAGTCCAAAGATGCAACCCGTGGAACTGTCGCCAGGTAGCTAGATCACCTGGTCTCCTCCAAAGATGCTTTCTAGGGCTGCCTCTAAAGACACAGTTGACCAAACAAAGGAACTTGAGGGGCGGTGGCTCGCAGAGGGCAAAAAAGGAAGCAGGTTGGCGGCTGAATTACCCATAATCAGTTTGAAGTAACCAGGCAACTCTCTGCTTGCAAGATAGGCGCCCAGCCAATGAACTTGGTTGCCAAGGTGACTTTCAAGTAGGTTGGCCGCCTTAACTGGTCCAACTGGTGTTTCAATGTTCTGGTCCAATTTATTTTGAACCTTTGGGGCCTTTCAGTAAGGACAAAGCCTGCCTAGAAATCCATGGGCTAGGACTTCTACATATTATTGCAACTATTCAAATTCCAGGCCAGGGTATGCCATAGTTCTTCAACCGGAATAAAACCAGAACATAGGGCCAAATTTACGAAGACTTGCATGTAATTGACTCCGGAAAGCTCTGGTTGCAAAACTGGAGGTTTTTGAGGCATATCTCCAATGCTATAGGAATTATACTTTACAAATCTATATATATATATATGCAAGTCTTGCTGAACCAGAATGATGGAAATCTCATATCCCATGCTGAATTCACCACTGCCTCTAAAATTGTGGTGTTGAATTGGTCATCTTACGTAGGAAGATACTTCATGCCGAAGTTAGAGCCTTGGCCCATATTCTAGGTTGTTGCTTTTGTTTTGCAGGTGTATTCCACATCATATCATTAATGCAACAGTGGCGGAGTTATACTGGACTGTCTGCACATCCACTTTATTATTCCCACTTTATTATTTGTCCCACGATGTGTTATTGCATTATTGCTTTGCACTGCAGTACAATGACTGCAGAACGCACACTTGTGGTATGAAAAGATACCACATTTCAGGAAATGAAAAGACTGGAGATGAAGCAGTATGTCTGCCGCAAAACCTTCGCAGGTGAAGACAGTATCGAGAGTGGGATCGTGTATAACCATCACGAGGGCAAATCATTATGAACGCAGCATTAAAAGGATGTCTGCAGAAGCCGTCGCTCGGTGTTGCCGCTAAAGTGACTGGCAAGAACTCTCCAGTGCTCTTCAGGCAGACCTGTCTCCTGGCCGGACCTGGAGATGGCAGAGATTGGACCAGGAACCTTCTGCATCCAACCCTGAAGCGCTATGGCCCTTCGCATCTGACCTCTTCTTAGCCTCTTCAAAGAACAACAGAATACTATAGGCCTTGTTTCTGGGGTTCTGTTGGAACGCAGCCAGTAAAACAGGTTCAAAACTGGCTTTTTGTGGTGAAAACCCAGGGACCAAACCCTGTACTTTTCAAGACAGGAAGCAGAAACCAGCAGGGCTTTTCATCGCAAGATTAGCTAATTTGAAGAACCATACTGAAGACGCCCAAGTCTTAATTACCACTTATCAAGTGGCAATGATGAAAACGGTTGCACATCAAGTTTATTGGAGAAATCCATGGCAATCTCTCTGAATTTGCAAAGGAGTCCTATTCTTCTCAAGCAACGGCGTGCAAAGGAAAGCGGGCCTGCCTGATCCTTGCAAAAATAAACCTTGAAGGAAGCTTCAACATGCTTTGCCTCCAGTTTGAAAGCAATCGATACCAGAAAATATTTGAAATTGCTATGTTTTTATGATTACGCCCACGCCCTTGGAGAGTCTGGCTACAGAAGCTAATGGAATTTACAGGTAAGCCACTGCTCACTGCACACCAAAGGGATGTTCATATAAACAGCCATGACAAGGGGGAGGGAGAGTGGTCACAACCAGAGGCCACGCCCCACAACAACGGATGCTCAGCAAGGTGGAGAACGGGCTCCTCCATGGAATGGGAGACCCTGGGCCACTTATAATCTTCCCTTGGGTGCAGAGCTCCACATAGGTCCATCAGGATGTATGCCTGTGTGGTGCAGTGGTTAGCGTGTTGGACTAGGACCTGGGAGACATGGGTTCAAATCCCCACAGACCCACGAAACTCACTGGGTAATCCTGGGACCTCCCAAGGTTGTGGTGAGGATTGAATGGGATTGGGGAGGGGGAGAACCACTTACGCCACCTTGAGGTCGGGGTGGTGGCAGCACGGAAGCAGGATAGGAACAAAAATTAATTAAAAAATGTGCATAGGGCCCCTTTTCATAGCTCCAGGGTTCTTTTAAAGTATTAACAGGGTTCGCCTGAATTCTCCCTCAAGTCTCCGGGAATGCCTTTGAGGTGAAGCAGAAGTTGCGGATAAAGTCCCCGCCCTCCTATATGCCCCCAAAAAACCCATGAGTTAAGATTTGCTTTATTTTCTCTTTTGCACTCACAGCCTCAAGCTTTTAAGTCACATGATTAATGAACTGGTTGAGATAACCGGTACACTTAAAATACACACCGCACCTTATAACCGTGTGCCATACGAACACACAGAAAGGAAGCAGGAACAGGTACAGTGGTACCTCTGGTTACGTGCTTAATTCGTTCCAGAGGTCCGTTCTTAACCTGAAACTGTTCTTAACCTGAAGCACCACTTTAGCTAATGGGGCCTCCTGATGGTGTTGCGCGCGATTTCTGTTCTCATCCTGAAGCAAAGGTCTTAACCCAAGGTACTATTTCTGGGTTAGCGGAGTTTGTAACCTGAAGCGTATGTAACCCGAGGTACCACTGTATTGCTATATTTCTCGAATGAGCCTTATTAGTGTTACAAAGCTTCTGCCAAAATAGTGGCTGTGGGAAAAACTGAGGTGACAGGGTGGGATAAATTAACCCCTCAGATGCAGGGTGGCGGCAGCGACTGTTATTTAGAAAATAAATAAATACTTAATCTCTCGGAAGAACCCTCTGTGGAGACCCTGGAGAAGGAAGGGATTGTAAACAGCAGCCACCAAAAGAAAGTCTGCATCTCTTCCCACTGACGTGCAGCTCCCTGCACAACACACAGTGGGGTGTGTGGGTCCATAACCCCAGTCACCAGGGTGCGGTTGTCCCCCTCCGAAGAACGTGACAAACTCCAGCCTCCTTCCCATCCTGCTGAGCGTATGCTGTGCTCCAGGCATGTGCAGAGTGCGGCACAGAATCTGGGACCACCCTCTGTTGCTGCTGCGCCACCCCCAAATCCCAAGGCTGTGGGGAGAAGGTGGGGCTGTGTCATTTCCACATTGCATTTCTGGACATCTAGGGCAGATGCGAAGGAATGACCCCACCCCACAAGCCCGAGGCAAAGCATGAGATCAGGAACAAAGCCCCGTGCCTCTTGCATAAGCGGGAGGGAGGCGTGATCCTGCCCCCCCCCCCAAAAAACGAAAGCATTTCGGTCGTCTCCCCAAGCCAGCCAAGACGTAGACACTCCCTGCCCTAGGCAGTCTTCCTGCCCACATCTCCCCCCTTCTGGGTGGGTCCCGGATCGCACCCTCTTCTCGTGGGGGTGGGGGGGCTCCTGAGTCCCTTCTCCCTGGGGCGCCCACTTCAGCTGAAGGTGGAGAGGGGGCGCTCCCTCCCACGCACCCCCACCCCACCCTTCCATTGTCTCAGCTCCACGCCCACTTTCCAGACAGGTAGAACCCCTGGGGCGGGAGGGGATCGCGCCCATCTCTCGACCCGCCCCCCCCCCACTCCTTGCAGGGCAGGATCCTTCGCCTCGCCACGTTCCTCCCAGCCCCTCCCGTTAGCTCCCTAAGGTTAGGCACCTTCTCCAGCTCCACCCTCGAACCTTCGGGTTCCCCACGGGTGAGGGGGGCTGCGCGCCCACGTACCCCCCCCCGCCCACGCATCCAGATGCCCTCCTGGGGGTGGGCTGCTCCTCCTCCGCTCCCCCTGCCCCGCCACGCCCACCCTTCCCTGCACTGCGGGGGAAAGGAAGCAGAGTCCGCGCCCAGCCGCCGTCGAACCGGAGACGCTTTCCTACCCCCCCTCGACACCCACCTTGGGGCTGGAGACGCCCTCGCCCACGGCCAAGACGGTGCCGGCCGCCTCCATGCCCGGGCTGAAGGGCAGCGGCGGCAGCCTGTCGTACACCCCCTGTCGGGCCAGCAGATCCGCGAAGTTGAGCCCGCAGGCGCGCACCTCGACGCTGACTTGGCCCGCGGCCGGGCTGGGCTCGGCTGCGGGCAGCTGGCGCGTCTGCACCTTCACTTTCTCGTAGCCGCCGAAGCTGCTCAGCACCAGCGCCCGGTACTGGCGCCCGGGAGCAGCGGCGGCAGCAGCCGCCTCCGACGGGGCCCCCGCAGCCTTGCCCTCCTGGGCGGGCTGCGCTGCCGGAGTGGCTTCTTGCTGCTGCTCCGGTGGCGCCGCGGTGGCGCTTTGCGGGGCGCCCGCGTCGCCCCCGGCCGCCTCTTCCCCGGACATGGCAGCTTCGGAGCTGGCAGAGAGCCGTCGGGCGCGCAGATGCTGCTGCTGCGAAGGCGAGAGAGAGAAGGCGAGGAGGGCGCGGCTGGCCAGATGCGTAAAACAGCTGGAGAGGGGAGGCGGCGCGCAAGAGCCGGAGCTGGAAGCGGGCGCGGAGCGGCGGCGGCGGCGGGAAGGAAAACCCGGGGAGCGGAGCCGGGGACTGCCTCCCTCCCTCCTTCCGTCAATCCTGGACGCCCACTCGGCTTGGCTGCCAGGAAACGAGGCGGAGACTGGAAGGAGGAGGCTGGGTGTGCCTTTCTGACGCAAAATGCAGCCAGCTTCTCCTCCCATGGCGTTTACTCCCAAGTAAGTGCGTGCTGATGCGCGTTTACCTAGGAGTAAGCCTTGCTGCACTGAAAGGGCCTTGCTCCGAAGTGAGCATATTCGTAGAATTACCAGGCAACCACGGCCAGCCTGGTCTCCTTGCGAGTAAGCCTCCCTGAGTTCAAATGGTCTTAATCCTAAATGCTCTTCCGTCTGTCTTAGCCCCCTTCTATGCTTAGCACCCTATTGTGCTATTTCTATTTTTCTAAATCCCCTTATCAACGTGTAAACTATAGTCACATTTCTCTCAGTCTATTGTGCTGGTCATAATTTGTCTTCCTTGCATAGATTGGCCTTCTTCTGTTCTGATCACACCTAATTCTACTAATTTGATCCTTTCTCTCTCCCCGCCCCGCCCCAAATTCTTGTAACTTGCACCTAGAGTTGTGCTGCACGACCTGCTTTTTGTACTTGGATTGGACCCAAAAATTGATCAGTGAGTCCAGTTTGAATCCCATGACTCACTAGGGAGTGGACCACTATTCTGTTACCCCGCCCCCCGCAAAAAAAACCCCCTCATTCCATCCCTCCCATTCATCCTCATCCTCATCATAACCTAGCTCATCTGACTGGGTTGCCACTCAGGGCAGCTTACAAAAACATAATAAAACATTAAAAACTTCCCTGTACAGGGCTGCCTTCAGGTGTCTTCTAATGGTTGTATAGTTACTTTGTGTGGCCGAATGTTCAGTAGTTTAAATAGTCTGGTGATTCATAAATTATCCTGATTTATGGGTTAGCACTGAGGTGTCCTAGGTTTGCGCTAAATTGAGCTCCATCTGCGCTATACCTTAAAGCAGTGTACCACTTTAAACAGTTGCAGCATCCCTCAAGGAATCCTGGGAATTGTAGTCTATTAAGGGTGCTGATCATTGTTAGGAGACCCCCCAATTCCACACACAGAAGGTCCTGGAGTGGTTTAACAGTCCCTTTTCCCAGGGAACTCTAGGCATTGTAGCTCTGTGGCTGGAATAGGGGCCTTCCCAGGAACTCTCAGCACCCTTCCCAAACTACATTTCCCAGGATTCATTGGGAAGAAGCCGTGACTTTTTAACAGTGGTAAGGTAAAGGGACCCCTGACCAGTATGTCCAGTTGTGGCCGACTCTGGGGTTGCGGCGCTCATCTTGCTTTATTGGCCGAGGGAGCCGGCGTACAGCTTCCTGGTCATGTGGCTAGCATGACTAAGCCGCTTCTGGCGAACCAGAGCAACGCACGGAAACACCGTTTACCTTCCCGCCAGAGCGGTACCTATTTATCTATTTGCACTTTGACGTGCTTTCGAACTGCTAGGTGGGCAGGAGCTGGGACCAAGCAACAGGAGCTTGCCCCGTCGCAGGGATTCGAACCACCAACCTTCTGATCAGCAAGCCCTAGGCTCTGTGGTTTAACCCACAGCACCACCCGCGTCCCTCTTTTAACAGTGGTATGATACAGCTTAAAATGCATTGCGCAGATGGGGCCTAAATTATTTGTGGTGAAAACCCAAGTAGATTGCAGAGAGCTCCGAAAGGATCTCTCCAAACAAAAAGCAGGCAGGAAAATGGCAAATGTGGTCCATTGCAAAGAAATATAAACCAGAGATGAAGACCTGTGGCAGATATCCCAGATACCGTCAGCCTGGCCAGCCATCAGAGGTGATGATAGCTGTAGCCCAAAGCAGTTGAAGAGCCATCTTGGCTGCATTTAAATAAAAACTTTCTATATACTGTGATGAGCCTGAACTGCCAGTGACTAATCAGGACAGAGATCTTGAGCTCAGTTGAGATGCTGACATAATGTGCAGCTGTTGTGAAAAGGGCAAATTCCTTGCCATGATTATTAGGAAATGAAACTTTGGACAGTAATAACATTGGAACGGAAGGTGGTGGACTCATTCCTGGGAGGTTTTTAAGTGGAGGTTGTGGGTGGTCAGGGGACACCAGTGGCACTGTGGTCTAAACCACTGAGCCTAGGTCAGGTACCTAGATCAGAAGGTCAGCGGTTTGAATCCCCGCAACTGGGTGAGCTCCCGTTGCTCGGTCCCTGCTCCTGCCAACCTAGCAGTTCGAAAGCACGTCCAAGTGCAAGTAGATACCGTATTTTTCGCTCTATAACACGCACCCGACCATAACACGCACGTAGTTTTTAGAGGAGGAAAATCCGTAGGCATGCCACCCGTAGGCATTTCCTCCATAACACGCACAGACATTTCCCCTTACTTTCTAGGAGGAAAAAAGTGAGTGTTATGGTGCAAAAAATACGGTAAATAGGTACACTTCCAACAATTTTTATATTGGAAATCTCCCTCTGCTCTAAGAAAGGCGAAGCAGCTTACTGTTGAGAATGCCGCTTGGCTTGTTCAAATGCTAATTCCGATGAGTAGAAACCTCGCCGAAATCTTACAAGATCTGCGCAACCCATATAAATGCGGTGAAAATAAACTAGAGTGAACATTCCGAAGCCTGAGCTACAGTTCGGCCTCCGTGTTCCCTTCATGGTAATGGGCTCATCACTCAGTTTTGCCTCTCTCTGGGTTTCAGGGCCTAAGTCAAGGGTTTCCTCACCTCTGCGCTTGGTGCTTGAGCACTGTCAGTAAGGGAAATAAAGGCTGGGCATGCATGGAATAAATGAAACAGATTCAGGGTAAGATTCTCCCTAGTCCACTCCAGGTCTTCCATTCTCGGCATCCTGGTTAATTCTACCTTCTGGCACAAGCTGTCCGTCCTCCTGTCTCAGGTTAAGCGCTATCCTGCTATATTATAAAACTGCTTTTCAAATCCTGTGGGTTGCAGGAGTGTGAGGAGACGGCACCTTTCCGCCATCGCTCCTCAACGCGCCAAGTTGGCTTTTTCTCAGGCAGCTCTGCTGAAACAGAGGGACGTCGCACGCTCACAGAGAGATTTGTTTGCAAACCTCCTGTGCTGCAGCCATGTGGAGCTTTGCAGAGTTTGTGGGTTCATTTACTAAATACCTCCCCCAGGCTGCAGATGGAGACATCTGCGCTGATAAAAGCAGGCTTGCAAAACACAAGGGCAACAATCCGCAGGGAATTAGAAGCCGGATCAGGCCGGGCCCTCAAGAGTTGATGTTTGCAGGGCTGTCGTCCCTGGTTGGCCACCTGATGCCTCTGAAACCCCCCCCCCCAAGCATATTCTGTTTCCCAGGGGAACCGTCATGTGACCAGACCTTATGACGGCAGTTGGATGCTGTCCAGGGTCACTAGAAACAAAACAAATCTCTCTCTCTCTCTTTCTCTCGTTCATTATTAGTAAACAGTACCTTCATTTTCTAAGGTTCACAGGCAGCAAACTGAGTGGGTGCAGGGGAGGAGAACACAATATCCAGGGCAGCTTATTTCCTGTGCTCCCAGACTAATTTTGCACCCGGCGAAAGTCCAATTTAGAAGTTTCCCCAAGGTGGTTTAACATAGACCAGAAACCCACATGCAAACAGCAACAACTCAGAAAGCATATGGGTTGCATACACACCATACATTTAAAACAACCTCCCCATCACACACACAAAATCCTGGGGGCTGTAGTTTCCCCCCCCCCAGCGCTACAGTTCCCAGCACCCTTAAAAAACTATAGTTCCCAGGATTTTTTGGGGCACATGTGGTGCTTTAAAGCTATAGAGGCTGAGAACCATGGCCTTTAAGTTGTGCTCCGTCTCTTCGGCGCTGCTCAAATCAAAGATGGAGATGCCACAGGTAAAATGGGAGCGTATCGTACGCTGCATATGAAACTGCCATGGTGTCTTATTGCAGTGCTTTTTAGTCACAGGGACATGGGTGGTGCTGTGGTCTAAACATAGCTGTCAACCGTCCCTTATTTGGCGGGAAAGTCCCTTATCCCAGCGCCATGTCCCACTGCTGTCCCTTATTGATGATGTCCCTTAAATTTCCCGGGTTTCAAAGGAAGCAGCTCCTCTCCCTCCCTGTCGGCCAGGGAGGCTCCAACTGTGTTGCTTGGCTGTATTGCTCACCAATAAAGAGTCTAAGAACGACTGGGGGGTGGAGCTTGCATGCCTTGTGCCGATCAAATCAGCCGCGTTGCCTGGGGACTCGCCTTTGCTCAGCGCTTCCCAGTGGAGAGGTGACGTGGTTTTCCTTGCTGCATCCCCTTTGCCGGGTTGCTGCGCTGTGGGAACCACCGCTTGAGGCTTTGTTTGGCTGCTGGCTGGGCTTTCTGCCTTTGGCTCGGTGGGGTTTAGAAGTTGAACCTACCTGTGCCCTGAAAATCCCTTATTTTGGCTGCTGATCCCTTATTTTTGGGGCTGCTGGTCCCTTATTTTCAAATCTGTAAGTTGACAGCTATGGGTCTAAACCACTGAGCCTCTTGGGCTTGCTGATTGGAAGGTCGGTTGTTCAAATCCCCGCGACGGGGTGAGCTCCCATTGCTCGGTCCCTGCTCCTGCCAACCTAGCAGTTCAAAAGCATACCAGTGCAAGTAGATAAATAGGTACCTCACCAGCAGGAAAGTAAACACCGTTTCTGTGCGCTCTGGTTTCCATCATGGTGTCCTGTTGCGCCAGAAGTGGTTTAGTCCTGCTGGCCACATGACCCGGAAAGCTGTCTGTGGACAAAGGCCGTCTCCCTCGGCCTGAAAGTGAGATGAGCGCCACAACCCCAGAGTCACCTTTGACTGGACTTAACCGTCCAGGGGTCCTTTACCATTTTACCTTTTGAGCCTCAGGCCCCCTGATGCTGGTTATATTACACAGGAGCACAGCTGGGGCGAGATACGGTGTGAAGAGCCTTTCCTAGGCAGCATAATATATTTTCCAGCAGTATATTTGAAGCATATTTCCCTTCTCAAATAATTCTGGGCATTGCGATTCCTGAAGGGTTTGCTGTAGCCTCCAACATTTCTCTGATGAAAATAGGGA